TGAAACAAGCCAGGCATAAAATTCATTGTATGCCATTGTATGGTTCTACTCCTGAAATTCCTAGAAGAGGTAAAACCGTAAAGACAGAGAGCTGACGGGTGACTGCCTGGGGCTGGGTGAGAAACTGATGGTTTGTAGATTTCCTTTTGAGCTGATGAAAATGTTTTCAAACTGTTAATAGATGGAGGTGGTAAGCAGCTATAGGACATTGAGAATATACTAAATGCCACTGAGTTACTTACTTAAAATGGTTAATTTTATGTTTTGTTAGTTTTGTATCAATTAAAAGAATAGTGAATTAGGGATCAGAGGGTAGAGATGGGGTGATTGCAGATGCCAAGAAGGAAGTTCCCTGGGGGTTTCTCCCTCCAGATCCAGAGGCTGTCTCTGGGCTTGAGAAAATCGGAAAGGATTCTTGCTGTGCTTTGTCACTCTGACTCTTTGCGACCCGTGGACTGCAGCCCGCCAGGCTCCCCTGTCCATGGGGATTCTCCAGGCGAGAATACCGGAGTGGGTTGCCATGCCCTCCTCCAGGGGATCTTCCCAACCCAGGGATCAAACTCAGGTCTCCTGCATTGCGGGTGGATTCTTTACCATCTGAGCCACCAGGGAAGGATTCTTAAGGTCCTTCCATCCCCCTTTAAGGACGGAAAAGACAATCCCTAAGAGGACAGGGACTTGTTCAAGGCCTGGAGAGCAAGGAAAACCACAGAAGAATTAGAGGAAAAGATTCAGAACTCAAAGCTGGCATTGTACCATGGTGTCCCATGGGCTCTGCTTGCCATGGTGGGCTGGAGGGGGCCCATGGCCACGATCAGATGAGGGAAGTCCAAGCTCACACTTCTGGCCTGAGCATATGAAAGGGACAGAGTCATCAACCAGCTGTTATCCAGGCTTATCCATGCCCAAGGCGTTGTATGAGCCCACCCACATCTTCTTCCTTGAGCGTAAGCCCGCTGCACGGTGCAATTACAGTTTTAAGAGGAAAACTCATTAGCCAGCTCTTCTATTTCTGCCCACAGCCTGCGCCCCCGGGCTGAGGTCATCAGTTTCCCCTCAAAGGCAATGGGAGGAAGGCAAATGTCCTAGCAGCAGGGCATTCACTGATCCCCGCGGAGGGACCCAGGAGCATCCAGTCAAGCCCTGGAAGGGGAGGCCTGCTGAGCCCGCTGGAGCCCTGGAGGGGTTCTATTCTTTTTTAAGTTTTGCTGGCTCAGACCTGCTGGGCAGGTATCAAAGGGAAAGGCCAGCCTCCGGGGTGGGGGGGGGGGGCACCCAATCTCTTTCAGTGTGGTCTCAGGTGAGTACCACAGAGGGGACTGGGGGAAGTGGGGAACAGGGAGGGGGTGCTGTGGAGAAGTCACCCAAGGAGAGATGTAACAACGAGAGATTTGCAAGGGGGAGCGGGGAGGAGGCATTTCTTGAGGGGCTGCAGAGTGGGCACGTCACTCAATGCTCCCAGGGCTCTGGACCTAGGGGACAGGAGAGAGCTGCCTCGTTCCACAGTGAGACAGGAGCAGAGGGATTTGAACCCGGATCAGCCCCACTCCACTGCACAACCCAACTCCCACCAGGGGATGGAGGGGATGTTGGATTCAAGCTGGGTTCAATCCCCACCACCCACTTCCCACACTCTGCAATGCATCTCTCCTCCTCTTAAGACACTTTAAGCATTTGCATCCCATGCACTGAATTTTTTCTCTGTTTTGTGGTTTGTGGTTTTGAAAAATGGGTCTTGTTATCAAAGATGCCTGGGAAAAGCAGTTGTCTGGGGGGCAGGGAGCAGGAGTTGTTTAGATGCAGGGGGCCCTGGAAGATGCCGTCACAACTGAGCAGGAGGCTGGTGGCCACTGAGAGGGGTGGTTGGTTCCTGGTGTCAGAGGTCTGCACGGCCCTCAGGGCTCCTGGTCCCAGGGATCTGTGCCCCAGGCCACCAGGCCAGGACAATGGCCAACACACCTTAGCCTGTGGTTTGTGGCAAAACCACCATAAAAAAAAAATACAAGCAACTTAATTGGAATAAAGGAGAATTTCTGGCCTCTCCTCCCCAATTAGGACAATTGAAAAGGAACCCAGCACAGAGACAGGAGAAGTTGTTATGTTTTCAAGACAAATCGAATGCATTTTTAAAAATCTGACCTTGCGGGTACTCGCATTTTCTTTTCATGTGGATTTTGGTCTCATCTCCCTGGTGACTTCCATCTATGTCAATCAGAACCACTAAAATGAGACTGCAGAAAGGCAGTGCGATCGTGCTGCCAGGGAAAGCAAATGACAAAAGGAAGTCTATGTCGAGACAGCATATCTTCCAGAAAGGGGGTGGGGGACGCCCAGCGAGGCCACTGGGCTGCCCAGGGTGACTGTGGCAGAGCTGAGAGCCTGGTCTCCTAGATGCTGGACGAAGACTGTCCAAAGCTACTGGGGACCTCCCAGCCCCATGCTCCCCACCAGAGATGGGACTCTGGGGGGATCAGGTAGGGTTCCTACCCTGGGCTTGGGGGCCTTCAGTAGGAAAACAATTGCATCGTGATGTTCACTACCTTTACCTGAAATGTATCATTTCCTCCCCCTTTTTAACACAGGTGACAAATCACAGTCGTATTAGCAGTACCTGTGACTTTGTCAGCAATAGAAATCACCATTATTTTCATATCATATCACAGTTATTGCAGAGAGCTCAAAAGATTGTTAATTCTCACGGCTGCTTTAAAACAAAAGTTACTAGACCTGCTGTTGTTATAGCCACGCTTTCCGGGAAACAAACTCGCTCAGAAAGACAGTGCAGATAGTGGGGTGCAGTTTATTACACCAGTGGCTCAGAAGGACAGTGCAGACAGTGGAATGCAGTTTATTACAAGGCAGAGTCTCCTCTTAGCCAAGGACCCCGACCAGTTTCTGTGAAAACCTTATATACCCTAAGTGTATAAGTTTCCCTGAAACTAGTCTGAATAAAGGAAAAAGAAAGATACAATCAAAGTTAACCCATGATCATATGCCTTAAGCCTAGGTAGTTAACAGTGGACAATTGCCAATAGGTCTGTGGTCATACCCCAATAAACATAATAGAATGTATGATTCTATTCGGCTACACAGATAATTAGGGTATTCTTTTAGGCAACGTATTGGGGGGGGTGCTGATTTTCCAGTTGGTATGTCGTTTCCATAGATACTGGGCATAGAGCTCAAAGTCCGCAGTCCGGCCCAAGATGGAGTCCTGCTTTCAAGATAGAGCCTGTTCTGTGTCCTCCTTCACTGTTAGATCATGTTATCTGATACCTTCGTAAAGAAGTGTGTGCACTGCCGTATCGTGCATGTTTAATACTGTGCTCATTACATTTCGATGTCATTTGTTTCCTTGGTGATCTTACTCATTTTATTCACCTGAATTTAAAGTTTTGTCCAATGAGAGCACAGACATCACCAGATGGACGAAGAGGTCAGTGGTCCACAAAGGCACAGGACCCCTGATACCCCTTCTCTCATTCTCATTTTCTGTGAAATGGACCAGCTTAAGGGTTGGGGAACCCAGGCTTCAGTCAGAACCCTCTAACCTGGACACCACACCGAGATGAGAAGAGGAGAAAGCGTCTGGCTTTGCCTCCATCACTTTCCTATCTCAACTCGGCCTCTTTTGGAAAACCTGGCAGGGAATGCTGGAGCTCCCCCAAGGATGCCTCAGTGCAGCAGGGTCCAGGAGCACCACTGAGAGCCTCCGTCTCCAGCTTAAAGGTGAAGGCGGTCCCCTTGGCTTGAGAACAGCACTGCCGGCAAAGGGGCTCAGAACCACCTGCTCCCCAAACCTCCAGGGAGGTCCTTCACACTTAAGACAGACTGGGATGCCCCTGACTTCTCTCTTTGCTACTGAAAGTCCCCAGTCCTCTGCCTTCCTGAGAGATTGTCTGCATTTGGAAACCAAGAGGCCCAGCCTTGACTCCGGGCTGGCCTCATCTTAAGAGAGATAATCACTGAGCCGGGACAATTATTCAGCACCAGGGACTCACTTAGCATCTGGTAAAGCCTGTGGACCTCTGCTCAGGTTAGTGTTTTTAAATGCACAAAATAAACTCTGTAGGGTCACAAAGGAAACCAGGGGTATTAAAATTCAGTTATCAAAATATTTTTAAAAATCAGTTTGTGATATAACATTTCAAAGTAGACTTTACTATTAGTAGATTTAAATAACTTCTAACTGAGGTTCTCATGAGACCATCATTTCAAAGTTGAGATGAGTGTAAGTCATGTTTAGAGATGCCTGCAGCCATGCTACTGTGAAAGGAGAATAGCTGTGATTTCTGTTGGGGACAGGCCACAGTAGAGCAGGACTGTGATGGCTTGTGACCTCTGCTCAGACCTTAAGGGAAAATGAAAACCAAATGGTAATTGTTTTCTCGTCCCATTTCATGGTTAAAAGTTCATGCTTTAACCTCTGTTGGTCATCATCTTCTCCTCCATAACATCAAATCTCTGATCCCTACCTCATAGTCTTAGTGTGGGGGCATATGGGACCACAGACGCAGAAGCGTTGTGTGGTGGCTGGGGGAACACACCTCTGAGGAGTTATCAGTCTATTTGTTATTCTCAGTGGTATGTGTGTGCTTAGTCACTCAATTGTGTTGGACTCTTTGCAACCCAGTGGACTGTAGCCCACCAGGCTCCTCTGTTCATGGGATTTTCCCAGCAAGACTACTGGAGTGGGTGGCCACTTTCTACTCCAGGGGTTCTTCCAGACCCAGGGATCGAATCCTCGCCTCTTGCATCTCCTGCATTGGCAGGTAGATTCTTTACCACTAGCACCACCTGGGAAGCCATCATTCTTGGTTATTAAGACCTAATAGCACCAAGACAATGAAAGTGGCATGAGAGAAGCAGCCCCAGCCTGTACAACAGTTTTGTAAACCATCCTCTCTTTTTCCTCTAGCACCCAGGGAAGCCCTGGCTCCCACCAGTGGTTCCTTTCTGCTCCTCCCTCAGCTGAGCCACAATGCCCGGTGTATACAAAGGTGAATGTGGGGCTAATGTGGACCAGATGCCCTACTTGACATCTCCCGATAAGGGGTGGATCGAAGCCGTGAACAAGCCCTATGACATCAAGAGGTCCAGCTGGGTCAAGGATGAGAAGGAGGGCTTTGTCGCTGGGGAGAGCCAGTCTGAACAGGGTGACCAAGTCACCATGAAGACGATCACCAACCAGGTGGGTGGGAAATGATCCCCAGGATGAAACTGATCTTTAGGAGTGGTGAACCCCCAGGACTCGAGAGGCAGGGTGGCAAGAAGAGCAGATGCCTCTGAGTCCCCGGTGCTGGGTTCAAGTGCAGACTCAATGACACTCAGCCTGGGGGGCCCTGAGCAAAACACTTTCCCTCTCTGACCTCTGGTTTTCTTACAGTAGAGATTTGAATGTGATAGGACATGAAAGTACTTTGAATGCTCTGTAAAACAGTGAATGTGCGGAAGAGATCATAGCGAGAGTTGCGTGTGTGCGCGCGCTCAGTTGTTTCAGGCATATCCGACTGACTCCTTGTGACCCCATGGACTGTAGCCTGCCAGGCTCCTCTGTCCGTGGGATTCTCCAGGCAAGAATACAGAAGTGGGTTGCCATGTCCTCCTCCAGGGGATCTTCCTGGCCCAGAGATCAAACTTGCAACTCCTGCAGCTCCTGCATTGGCAGGCAGACTTTTTACCACTTGAGCCACCTAGGAAGCCCATCATGAGAGTTACTTATCTTTAAAGCCCCAGACAGCTCTCATGTGGAATCAATTTTCTAAGAGTGAGGAGGAGCATCCCATCAAGAGTGAGAAGGAGCATCCCATCCATCGGGAATTGTGTGTTGTGCCCATGATGGCGTGAGGACTGTGAGACAGGACCTGGAATGCCCTGGGCAACCCAGCTGAGCTCTCCAGCGTCATGAGCTACAGACGGTGGCACCGAGCCCCTTGCTGCGTGGTGGTGCTGAGCTGGGGCTGCCTTGTCCTGGCTTGAAAGGATCCAACCCTAAACATTCGGGGGCTTTGCAGGTGGTCATTAAAACTTTGGCGTCCTGGTGTCAGCCATGGTGGAATTGACAAAAGCTACAAATCATGGATTTTTTTTTCCTGCCCGTATAGCTGGTTTACTAGCACAGCCCTCTCTGTTGGTCCACACTGTGTCCAGCTACAAGGACGGACTTCGGAGAGGGGCTAGAAAATTTGGTTTAGGAGACCCCTCACCTGGGGCAGACTCCCGGGGAGGCACTGGATATTTTGCTTAATCCTTTTAATAACCTTATGGTAGTAGGACGAATGAACCCTATTTAGCAGAAGATTAAAGAGATTTTAGGTAACTTGCCTACAGCCACAAAGACAGTGAATGATGAATTCAGATTCAAAGCTTGCTGCATCTGGACTCACAGAGAACAAACTTAGGGTTGCCAGGTGCCAGAGTAGGGGGAAGAGATAGGGAGTCTGGGGTCGGCATGTACACTCTGCTGTAGTTAACGTGGATGGCCAACAAGGTAGGCCCTACCATATAGCACAGTGAACTCTGCTCAATGTTACATGGTAGCCTGGATGGGAGGGGAGTTTAGGGAAGAATGGATACGTGTATATCTATGGCTGAGTCCTTTTGCTGTCCACTTGAAACTATCACAATACTCTTAATTGGCTATACTCCAATATAAAATTAAAAGTTTAAAAAAATAAAACTGACAAATCTGGAAAAAAAAAAAACCAAAGCTTACTGTGTCTGGCTCCAACGTCCATGCCCCTTCCACAGCGTCACCTCATCTTCCACGTGGGCTGCGGGGGGTGGGGGTGTGGGGGGTGCATGAGATCAGCCCTTGGGTAATTTCAGGAATAAGGGCACAGAGACCTTCCATGATCAGAACTTGGCAATATCTAAGCTTTACTCTGTGCCTCGCCCCTGTTTGAGAGGAGTGGCCACAGGAAAAAGGAGGCTGACGCTGGGGTCCAGTTGGTTTGAATATGAAAGTCAAGATTAACTTGCGGGAGAAGCATCCTTCTCAGAAGGGCAGGGCACTGCAGTGTTGCCAGGAATGATGGATGATGAGAGCGAAGCGCCAGAGGCCCCAGTTTGGGTACAATTTAAGGACAACACAACTTCTGGGAGCATCTGCAGTAGACACACATACAGCAGGGTTTGGGATGGAAAAGACCGACTCATCTGGCTCTTAATGATAAAGGCACAGAATTCCATTTCTCTGCTGGGGCTGAAAGACAAGTGTTTGCCTGTGGGTGAGGCCCAGAGATCAGGAAATTACCAGAAATGGACCCTGACTGAAACCTAGCTGGATTTACTGTGGGCGTGGTGACCATTACTGGGTGGATTTTCCAGAGCCGTCAAGATTTCAAATTATTTGCCTGTTGAACTCATAAATTATTAAAAGTCCCAGAAATCCCAGTAGGTGTTTGAGCCTCACATCTCAGGCTTCAGGCAGCAGAAAGATATTTGTTTTCTCGATCACATGCCTCGAGCTCTGGTCCCAGATGCTGCCACGTAAGAGCTGGTGTTAGTTTTCATTTACAGAGGCAAAGCTGGGGTGCAGGGTGGGGATGGGAATTGGTTGTATTATTTTTACCCTAAAATATCTACTGTTCACCATTGTTGTCTTTTTTTCTTTTTGGTCTTGTTTGCTAGCTTGCTTTCAATTTTATCCTTCAAGGTGGTTTAGTGGGAGCAGGGGGAATGATTTTTTTTAATGGAAAAGTTCATTGCTATTTAGAAACCACTGCTAATTCTCAAGGCAGAGGGCCAAGAGTCACATCTCTGCATAGGGTCCCTGGGATCAATGAGCAAGTTCAGCTACCAGAATGGACTTGGCTGAAAGAGAAGCACTGGTTGGAGGTACTCTGAACATAGGGAGGGAACATCAAGGTCTTTTTACTTGATGCCTCTTCAGTTCATATAATCCTCCCAGCAACCAGCCAAGGAAGCCACTGTCATCCCTACTTCAGAGGGGAGGCACCTAGAGCTCAGAGGGCCATGGATGTTCCTCCCCGTCCCAACTCGATGGGACACGGCTGCACCAGGAGTTGGACCCACTGATCCAGTTTTTTGCACAACGCCAGAGAGTGGGTGGTACTCTGCCCGATGCCACCGTGGTGGTGAGACAGTACTATGCCCTGATGCATGTGCTGTGTTTTGACCCCCAGACGCTCATCATGAAGAAAGATGACATCCAGCAGACGAACCATCCCAAATTCTACCAAGCCAGCGACATGGCTGATATGACTTTCCTGAATGAGGCCAGCGTCCTGGACAATCTGCATCAATGCTACATCAACATGAGGATCTATATGAGTGTCAGGGCCAGGGTGGGGAGGAGGCGCTGGCTGCAGTTCTTCGGCCCCTGTCCCGACAGGGAGGGGACAATCCCCTCCCCAACAACCCATGCGTGTTATGTCTGGGACAAGGGCAGAGGGACCATGCTTTTGGCAGATCAGAATTTCCACCCTGAGGCTTTGGCACCTCAGTGATGGTACGATCTCTGTGGGCAGCTGATACACCCTTTGCTGAGGCTGTCATCCACAAGTGCTCCTCCTGACCCATCCCAGCAAACCCCCCAATCAAAACATCATTTCCACCCAGTGACGTCATACAGCTTCATTAAAAGTCTTTCCCTGTCCGCCCATCCATCCTCCATCCATCCATTCATCTTTCCTTTCCTACCATTCTTCCATCTTTCATTTCTCCCTTCCTTCTGTCCATCCATTCAAGCATTCATTCACTCAACAAGTACTTTGCTAGGATCAGCACAGTGAGTCATCATCGGTCCCTTAACTGTCTTGGAAATCCTAAGACTTCCCAAAGGTGCTGGAGGCTAAACTCAAAACTGGGATATCAGGAAGTTTACGTGTCTGCCTAACTAGATGTCTTTGCTAGAAAGGAAAGAGGCAATCTGGTAGGACTGGGTGAGCTGGGGCCCAGCTTCAAGGTCAGGGGACTTCCCTTCCCTGGGCTTTGGTGACAAGAGAGCTGTTGCTGGCTTCTTCCCCTTGCCCTACTTCAGATTCAGATCTTCGGCAGCACCAGAGCTACAGGCGGTGCTGGAGGGTCTCTGGAAAACTCTTGGGGTCATTTGCTGGGCCCGTAGGCTGTTGGGGCATCACTGGATTTCAGTCTGGGAAGAGCCACATCTGCAGCCCGGCTGCTCCTTGAGCTTGGATGGAGAATGTCCGTGTGGGCTCAAGGTCAGGCTCAGGGCCTGGGCTTGCTCAGAGCCCCTCTGCAGCTGAGCGCTTGCTCCCAAGGGTGGCCACACCACAACTCTGCGCGAAGGGACTGCAGGCTCTGTGGAGGGTGGCCTGCAGTCTGTGGAGAGGGCAGGAGTCTCCTCTTGAATCCAAACACCTCCGTTAACCACTGGCTGAAATACTGGGGTAGGCAGGGCAGCCGCCCTCTTGTGTCCCTCTTGCAAGGGCGGCGGGGGACCTCTCCTTTTCCTTCTGGCCCAAACACGGACAGAACTCGCTTCTGGTCTGCTCTCTCTGCCCCACCCCAACCCCCAAGACAGGGCTGGAGGGAAAGAGCGACTCAGTGGCTGGATCCCAGCTGAGACACAGTGCATCATCCTGTTACGTCTTCACTTGGGTTCTCTGCCTCCTCTTTGCTCCTCTTTCTTTGGGTCGCTTTCTATTTAATAAGGTTCCTTTTTAAAATGCAATATAATGCAGCTCTGCTAAGGAGAAGCTGGGGGTGTGTACCCGGCTTGGACCAAAATGGAAAGTTTTCGAGTTGACATGAAGAGAGGCAGAGAGTGGAGGCAAAAGAGGTCAGTGTGAACGTCCAGTAGGAGAAGTTTGGGACCCACGGATGTGGCCATTTTCTGCCCTCAAATAATTTCTTTCACTACTTCATTGGTTTTTTCTGATTTTTTTTTAAATGGGATGATTTCCTGAAAAAATTGCCATAGGGTAAAAGAATATCTTCTTAAGAATAGACCAATCCCTATTGCCCACCAGTTGGCGGATTGTGTCCACAAAGTAAGAACTCCCTGAACTGTCAGGGAAAACCTCCCCCATGAAATAAATCCAAAAGTCAAGATATGAAACAGTATCATGTATGTGAAATCTAAAACAGGACAGAAATGAGCATGTCTACGGAACAGAAACAGACTCAGAGACACTGAGAACAGGCTGGTAGTTGCCAAAGGGGATGGGTATGGGGTGGGACAGGGAAGGAGCAGGACTCGGGGATTAGCACATGCAAGCTTTTATCTACAGGAGGGGTAAACAACATGGTCCTACTGGACAGTACAGGTAACTATATTCAATATTCTGTGATAACCATAATGGAAAAGATGCTGAAAGAGAATATATACATATAACTGAATCACCTTGTCGTACAGCAGAAATGAACCTAACATCGTAAATCAACCATGCTTCAAAAAAATTTTTTCCGCTAAAAAAATAGAAAATAATCAGTATCCTAGAAGACGATTGTTTGCTTTAAGAACAAGGTGAGGGGATAAGAACGTTATCTCTGGGTTTATTTGTATACTACGAGAAAAGGATATTAGAAACCAACACAGTGCTTCCTTCTGGGAGGAGGGGGCGGGCACTTAGCAGCTGGGGGACGTTTTGCTGCGTATTTGTCCGTAGAAACGATTATGTTATCAAGTCAGATACTGGGGTTGGCCAAAAAGATCGTTCTGGTTTTCCCGTAAGATGTTACCAAAAAACCCTAGTGAAATTTTGGCCAACCCAATAATTAGACCAAAAGAAAATGCAACAGATACATAGTAAAGAGAAGCCTGGTTTTGCCTACTGGATAAAGAGTCAGACATAGATTCTGCTCTGAGAGAGAGCATCACGGAATCTTTCCAGGCTGGCAGGATGCTCCAGCCAGGATACTCTGCAACGGGCCAGGGTCCAGGGGGAAGAGGGTGTCGGGAGAAGGGCCAGCTAATCCTCTTCCTTTCCTCCCACCAGACCTACTCGGGCTTGTTCCGCGTGACAGTCAGCCCCTACCGGTGGCTGCCCATCCACGGGGCCCGCGTGGCCAACATGTACAAAGGCAAGAAGCATGCACGGAGATGTCACCCCACCTCTTCTCCATCTAGGACAGCACCTACCACAACAGGCTCATAGGTGTGTGGGGGAGTGGGGATAGGAGGGGGCTGCCGGGTCTGTCATGGCAGGGCAAGAAAAATCCCTTTGCCGCTGGGGCTCCAAATGCATAAGACCCCCGTGCTACCCAGTCCCAACCTTGATCCCTCATCAACCACTGAAGATTTTTTTTTTTAATATTGCTTGGTGAGTGCACTTGCTAAGTACCAGCCCTACCTCACACCCCATCTCATTTAAACATCACAAAAACATGGGATAATGAGCTAAATAATGTCCAGAACTCAAGTCAACCCTTAACCATTCCCTGGGCCATCTTTGTCATGCAGTGCAAAGTGATTTTTATTAATGTTACTATTTATCTTTATGTTGCTTACGACTAGGCAGTTTTCTGGGATGGGGCTGGTAGAAACGGAGTGGCTGGTAAATTCTTGGGCCCTTCGGCAAGGATGTGGGCTGCAGCGGCAGGCCTGTCGCCTCAGACCCCACGGGATCCTAGCTCTTCTTCGTCCGCAGGCCACTGCAACTACGCTCCAAGCCGGGCGGGATGCAGGGAGATGCAGGCGGCATGGCTAGGGTGATGCCAAATGTTGAGTTTCTAAGTGTTTTCTAATTACATCTTCCTGTTGACTGTTCCTTCCCTACAAAGTGTGAAAACAGTCTACGCTAATCATTTAAGTGTCCCTCCTGCCTCCCAGTCTATAGACATGTAATTAGGTCTGTGTCTTACACATGTAATTAAGCCTTCTTAGAATTAATTGGGGGGACTTTGTATGGAAATCTGCAGGCTGCGAACAAGTGGGCCTAGCAGGGTAAGGCTGCATCTGCTCTGAGTTGGGGTGAGGGGTTTCAGGGCCCAAGTCCCCTCCGGCCCCACCCTGTCTGGCCGGATGGCTGGGATGCGAAGACGCCCAGCCTGGACCTTGCATCGCTTTGCCTCTCTGCAGCCACTCCCCTCTCTGCCCTTCACGCGTCTGCTCCTGCTCTCCGCCTGCAGGGGAGAATCTGGTGCCGGCAAGACCGAGAACACGAAGAAATCATCCCGTACTTTGGCAACATCGGAGGAACCGGCAAACAGTCCTTGGATGGGAAGGGAGGGCCGTCTGGGGACACTTGGGGTCTCTGGGTCCACACAGCAGAGCCCTGTGACCCTCACAGCTGCTCTCTGGGTTAGGGCCACTTAACAGATGAGGAGATGGTCACTTAGAGATAAGCGACTTGGGTGGAGTCCCGTGAGGAGAAGATGGCTGCAGACCCGCAGCTGACCCCTGCACAGACTCTGATGCCCCAGGCCACATCTGCCCCTAGAAGTGCCGCGCCAGAGCCCCGTGTGCTTGGCAGGGGAGAGAAGGGACCGCCAGCTCCTGGCTAAGCTGCTTCTGCAGGCCTGGTGGCCCCAGGGCTCAGGGAGCACTAGCTGGGCCAGCGGCAACTGTGAAAAGCCAACAGAGAGGAAAGGAAGACTTTGGAGGAGCACCAGGGATGCCCAGGGAAGGGTTTGAAGATTCACACAGGAGTCCCTCCGCCAAGAGCAAAGGAAAGAAACAGCAGCTAAGAATCAAGGCCTGTCATCTGGCAGGGGGGCTCCGATGGCAGGGGCTGCAGGGGGACAGTCCTCAGGTGCTGGCCCTCCTCCCACGCCCCTCAGTCCTTCTCTCCTCGCCTCCCCAAGGCCGTGCCTCTCCTGGGTTCCTGGCACACACACCACTGTCATTTGGAAGTCCTGGGTTCCCAGGCAGCAGCCGACAGGCCACCCCACCTTGTGTTTCTCTCTGGGTCAGGGGCCCCTGGAGGAGCAAGTCATCCAGGCAAACCCTGTACTAGAAGCATTCAGGAACGCCAAGACCACCAGAAGCAACACCTCCTCCAGCTTCGTCAGTGTGATGCTGGCAGGTGACCCCAGGGTGGTGGGAAAGGCTTTATCACCCCGTCCCAAGGGAGGAAATCAGGGCTGACTGACACTCACCAGTGGGATGACACAAGCCCCAGCATCTCCTTCCCAGAGATCGTTATCAGTCAGGAACTTCCCTGGCGGTCCAGTGGTTAAGACTCCACACTGCCAACCCAGGGAAAACAGGATCAATCCCTGGTTGGGGAGCTAAGACGCCCCTACAAGTCGCGCGGCGCGGCCAAAAAATATTAATAAATAAAAACAAAATGGTTTATAATAAATAATGCTTTAAAAAACAAAGAGAGTCCAATCCAGTATTTAAATCCAGGGGCCTTGAGTGCAGAGAAGTGGGCACATGGTGATGGAAGGACTAAGAAGTCAGAACAGGAACCCAGAGATTGCAGCGGCTGGAGGCTGATCCCCCCACCCCCACCCAGGGGCCCCACGGCGGCGGGATGCGGGAGAGGTGCTGTCCCCAGGGCCCTGGTGGCCCTGAAGCCTGTCTGGTGGGAGCTGGGTCACGGACGGAGATCAGTGGTGCCCTGCCTTTCCCTGCTGACCCCGTATCTCCTGCTGGGGTCAGCAGGGCCTCTCACTGCCTGGGGAAGAGGGCTGGGCGGGGAGGAGGTGAGGACAAAAGGTGATGGAGACGCCGAGACTCCGATTTCCAGGAGAGTTTGTCCTTGACTGATTCGGTGTCTCTCTTTAAGGAGACGTGGAACAGCACCCTCTATGTGTCAGTCAGTTCAGTCGCTCAGTGGTGTCCAACTCTGAGACCCCGTGGACTGATGCACGCTAGCCCTCCCTGTCCATTGCCAACCCCCAGAGCTTACTCAAACTCATGCCCGTTGAGTCGGTGATGCCATCCAACCATCTCATCCTCTGCCGTCCCCTTCTCCTCCCACCTTCAATCTTTCCCAGCATCAGAGTCTCTTCTAATAAGTCAGTTCTTTGCATCAGGTGGCCAAAGTGTTGGAGTTTCAGCTTTAGCATCAGTCTTTCCAATGAATATTCAGGACTGATAATTCCCAGTACGCCTGCCTAGGGTGGAATTCCAGAGGGTCCTAGCCTCTCCTGCAGGGCACTCCTCTGCTCCATAAGATGCCCCAAAGCTGCAGGCTACCCCCAGGCCATAGGTTTAGCTCCAAGACCTGCCCACTTCCTTCTCTGCCTGTCTGAGTGGGAAATCCACAACTCCATGTAACGCCACCTCTGGCCCAGTCACCTTCCTTCAGTACCCTTAGAATTCAGGGGTGGGGGACGCGGCATGGTGGGGGGGGGGGTCAATGAGCGACCGCAGCCAGTGAGTGACCAGGTGACAAGCTTGGTCTGGAGTGCCACACGTGCTCCCTCATGACCCTCCCTGCCCAGGACAATTTCATCTGTATCCACTTCGGAGCTACGGGCAAGTTGGTGGGAGCTGACATTGAGAGCTGTGAGTCAAGCCTTTTTCACAGGGTTTTTGGGGGGCAGGACCAGCTACCATTATGGGGTACAGCACACAGTGAAAGCATGGGCCCCTTGTTCCAAAAGTACTGAGAATTTCCACATAGCAGCAGAGGGACTCAAGCGTGGGGCCCAGCTGAGCATAGCCTGGCTCACGCGCGGGAGGTCAACCCTACTCCCAGGACCCCCTCCCTCAGGAGCCAGCCCCCTGCCCCGGCCATGGGTCTGGGGGAGAGGGAAGAGGGCCCATGCCTGGACATGGCACTGGGCTCTATGGGGAGGGGAGCCCTTCACTCCAGGGAGAATGGGCTGAACTCACGGGCATGTTGGCTTCTTCTTTCCCAGATCTCTTGGAGAAATCTTGTGTCATCTCACGGCAAGCAGCCAAGAGGAGCTACCACATTTTCTACCAGATTCTCTCCAACAGGAACCCTGAGCTTGTCAGTAAAGATCTTCACGTCTCCCTCATCGTCCCTTAACTGCTTTCCCACTATTTCCAATAACAAAAGAATTTCCTGTGCGTGGAGGGGTTCTGTGGTTCTACACAAATCTCTTTAGTTGAGAATTATGTGAAGAGGTTACAGGGAAGTTTCTCAAAGCTCGATTCACACCCACCTTCACAATAGCCTATGAGGCTTCACACCATTGCTGGCCCATTTCACAGATGGGGCTTTGAGATGCCAAGGTTGAGACATGGACCTGGGGTGCAGGGCTTTAGATCCACCTGCCTCCTCCCCTGACTCCTTGTCTGGGTTTCCCAAGTGGCTCAGTGGTGAAGAATCTGCCTGCCAATTCAGGAGAGGCAGAAAACGCAGGTTCGATCCCTGGGTTGGGAAGATCCCCTGGAAAAGCAAATGGCCAGCACACTCCAGTATGTTTGTCTGGAAAATCCCATGGACAGAGGAGCCTGACAGGCTACAGTCCACGGGGTAGCAAAGAGTCAAACTCGACAGAGCAACTGAGCATGCGTGCACGCCTTCCGTGTCTTGCTCAGACAGCAGCAGAGAGGTCAGCCCAGGACCATTGCATGTGGACACAGTGCACCCTGGGCACAGTTCAGCAAGCAGACTGCATTCCTGCCCTCAGCTGGATGCCCTCGTGCAGCCAACAACCTGCTCAACTGTCCATGGCAGACCTGCTCAGAAGCTAAGGTCCAGAGAGAGAGAGAGGCATGTGGCAGGAGTCGGGGAAGTTGAATGTTAGTGGGCCCTTTGGATGGAGCTCAAGCTCTCCTGTCTACCACACTCCCCACCAAGCCCTACTGCCTTCCTGACCCTGGAGCAGAGTGGCAGGCACCATTTATGTTCCTTCCCAGGCTGTAGTTTCTCTCAGCAGTAGAGAGAAAAGGAAAGGACAATATTTCTTGCATCCATGTCTCTTCTAAAAGTGAAAAAGACAGAACAAGAGGGGCACATATCTGAAGAAAAATAGAAGTGAGTGTGTTTCTTTGTAAAAGTGACAACATCCCAGACATATTATATGCAAGTGATTATTACTACCTGCTGCAATCTTTGGTTTACTTCTGCCTTTGAGCATGACCTGGTTTTTACAGGAGAGAGAATAGAAAGATGTGCATTCATTTATTCCAGAAACATCTACTAGTTGTCTACTAGGTGCCAGGTCCTGGGCCAAGTGACAAAGGGTACAGCCACATTCCTGAGACCCTCCTGTCACTCCAGAGTTCCTCACATGCCTCATTCAAGTCCCTCCCTGAGTCCAGGTGACCTCAAGGGACACGGAGCGCGTTGTATTCAGCTCTGTAACCACCACAATAACACCATCATACATGGCACGGGGAGGCATTTAGAGGTAGAGCTTAAAAATGAAAACAGAGGGACTTCTCTGGCATTCCAGTGGTTAAGACTTCGCCTCCCAACGCAGGAGGTGTGACTTCGATCTCTGTGGTCAGGGAGCTAAGATCCTGTATGCCTCAGGGCCAAAAAGACAAAACATAAAGCGGAAGCAATATTGTGACAAATTCAACAAAGGACTGAAAACTGGTCCAGGTCAAAAAAAACCTTTCAAAAAAACCAAAAAGAAGGAAGCCACGCATCGCCAGCCTGCTAACCTGCTTTCTTGCAGAAAGGCTGCTGCTGGTCCGAAACCCGAAGGAGTGCCCCTGGTGAGCCAGGGCATCACCGCGGTGGGCAACATGCACGACGGGGAGGGGCTGCAGATCACAGACGTGGGTGGGCGGGCGGGCAAAGCCGGTGAAAGACGGGGCGACTCTGGGGCCCTGCAGGCACTGCCATCTGAACTGGGTGGGGCGGGGTCGGAGGCCACACGCAGAGTTGCCAGGCAGCAGCCTGGATTCTCCCGTGGAGATTTCTGGGGTTGCAGCCGGCGTTCTCCCCAAGCCTGTCCTAGTGAGCAGAGTTTCTCTCTGCAGAGCTGAGCTGTTACTCGACAGGGACTTGCGGGGCGGTCTACTCCACATAACTTTCCTCCTCCCCAGCCCGGCGACACCTCACCCTCTAGTCCCACCAGTTCCCACAGCACCTCTCTCTCCTCCTCTGTGACGCTGAGCACCTGGGACTTCCGTTAGAATACTGTGTAACTCTCTCTGTTTTTGACAAAAGAATCAAATCCTGACGCATCTTCGCCTTCCCCTTCTCTCAGGACCGAGCAAGGAGCCTCTACAGTAATAGTGGTGGGGATTATAACACTGCTTCCCGTTTGTTCCTATCACTCCGGTCTATCTGTATGCCCACCTACAGGCCCCATTTTGCAGATGGCTACACTGAGGCTGGAAGGTTAAACGAATACAAGGACTACCTTGCAGTGCCTCTGGCCTGGGCTCCTGGGAGGAAAGACTCACCCCGGTCAGGGTCTGTCTGACCTCCAGCGTCCACACCGAGCGGCCATGGCCCACTGGTGCCCCCTGATGGTGACCTCCACTCCGAGAAACAGGAAGCCAGGAGCTCCCTGGTGTTCTTCCCCCGCTGGCCTTGCAGGAAGCCTTTGATGTGCTGGGTTTCAGCGCCCAGAAGACCGACCTGTATAAGCTGACTGGGGCACATCACGCACTTCGGCAGCGTGAAGCTCAGGCAGAAACCCAGAGAGCGGCAGGCCGAGGTGGACACCACAGAGGGCAGGCGTGGGGCGGGGGCTGTGCGGGGAGCGGGCGGCCAGCAGCGGGGGCAGGGGGGGCTTGGGGCTCTCCAGGGCTTCCTGCGCATGTCAGAGACACCGGTAAACCAAGGATGCTCCTTTAACACCAGACGCCCAGAGCCACGGAGAGTCATGACAGCGTAAGAGACATAATTGTGGTTTCTGTATCGCTTTGCCGCTTGACCTGGAGCGAGCGAGTGCAGAAACCGTTATCAGACTTCTGTTTTCTCTTCTTCCCCAATATTTCTAAATTTTTAAAATCAAAGTATAGTTGATGTACAATGTTATGTTACAAGTGTACAACATAGGTTATACTCCATTTATAGTTTTTATAAAATATTGGCTATATTCCCCGTGCTGTACAATAGATCCTTGTAGTTTATTTTATGCCCAATAGTTTGTACCTCTTACTCCTCTACTCCATCCTGCCCCTCCCTGCTTCCCTCTCCACACTGGTAGCCACTAGTTTGTTCTCTGTATCTGAATCTGCTTCTTTTAGGTTATACGCACTAGTTTGTTATATTATATTCCACATACAAGAGGTCTTTAGCTGTCTGACTTATTGCACCGACCATAATGACCTTCCAGTCCTGCCACACTGATGCAGATGGTGAAAATTTGTTCTTTTTCATGGCTGCATAGTATTCCACTGTATATCTATGGCACAGCTTCAGACCCCTGTTTTCTCGATGGCAACATGGGGGGGGGTCTCCTCAGCTGGGGTTCTCCAGGGCAGGGCACCATCTTTCACTCCCTGCTTTTTCTGTCCCTGCTCAGTGGCCGACAAAGTTGCCCACCTCATGGGTCTCAGCTTCAGGGAGCGCCAGAAGGGCATCACCAGGCTGCGGGTCAAAGTAGGCAATGAGCTGGTGCAGGAGGGCCAGAACACGGAGCAGTGCCAGAAATCCATCGGGGCCCTGGGCAAGGCCATGTATGACAAGATGTTCAAGTGCCTGGCGGTCAGGATCAACAAGATCTTGGACACCAAGATGCAGAGGCGGTTCTTCACTGGGGTGCTGGACATCGCTGGCTTCAAGATCTTGGAGGCCTGTCTGGCCTCACGTTGGCGTAGCCACCCTCCTTTGATAAGAGCCTTTTCATCAAGGTTCTCTCGCTTCTCACCTTCGACTTGGGGCTGGCCAATCTCAGTCTGCTCCTGGCTCTCCGGCTTCTGACTTCCAGAAAGTTCCATCTTCATATATTGGCGCCAAGTCACAACAGATAGAATGAGCGGTGCGCTGGCTGGAGCCGGCCTGTCCTGGCTCACCAAAGCTGATTGGGGGAATTTTCAAGAATTCTGAGAGCTGGTCAACACCCTGTAGATAACATGTTCATGGTGCATTTGCACCGTGGAGCCTGGCCGACACTACAAACCAGGAGATTTTTTTGAGAGAGAGCTGACTTATCAGCACAGCACCGGTGGCCCCCGTTTGTTGCTCAGACAAACGAGACTCCGGCCTTATCACAAGATGAGTGCTGTGGGTCAGGAAGAATTTACCTTCGTGATTAGGAGTCAGGAGACCTGGCTCTGGACTCGGGTTGGCCACCAACCGGCTGTGTGGCCTGTGGGCAGTGGCTGCCCCTCTCTGAGCCTCAGCTGTCTCAACTCTGAAATGAGCCGGCTGGAGGTGATGGCTGCTCAGGTACACTCCAGGTCTGCTCTCCTCTCATTCCAGGACTTCTGTTAGCCACAGCTGGGCTTTAAAAAAAATAATTTGGCTGCATTTCTATCAGGCTTCTCTAGTGGCTCAGCTGGGAAAGAATTCACCGGTGATGCAGGAGACCCCAGTTCCATTCCTGGGTCAGGAAGATCACCTGGGGAAGGGAACAGCTACACACTCCAGTATTCTTGGGCTTCCCTGGTGGATCAGCTGGTAAAGAATCCGCCTGGCATGCGGGAGACCTGGGTTCGATCCCTGGGTTGGGAAGATCCCCTGGAGAAGGGAAAGGCTACCCACTCCAGTATTCTGACCTGGAGAATTCCATGGTCTGTATAGTCCATGGGGTTGCAAAGAGTCAGACATGACCCAGCGACTTTCACTTTCAATTTCTCTCAGGATCTAGAAGGCTAATTTGGCTGCTGTCTACAATAGAATCATTTAATTCCATAGGTGGAAAGGGCCTTAGACAGAGTCTCAAATTGTGCTGCCTGGAGTCCTGGGCAGCTGCCGATGGCCAGCCAGGTGGGGCTGGGGAGGGAGGAAAACGCCTGCGCCAGCAGTGGGGCGTGTACAGTAGACAAACAGGGCTGGACTCCCAGCCCCGCCACTTTCACGCCATCGTGCACCCCCAGGTCCCGATCTTTAATGGGGTCACTGATCATTCTTGCAGATGCAGCTTAGCCAGCGTCTGACACATGTACACGCTCGATGCAGGTGGCTCTGTGATCACAATGGCCCCTCTCCTCTGACCTGTTTTTCGTAAGACCCTTCCGTGTGGGCTTTCATGAAGAGAAAGCAGTATCTGGTTTTAAAAAAATGAATAAAAAGGCTTGCAAATCCCTCAAACTCCTTCATCCTCCAGATGAGGATGAGAAAAACTAGACAGAGAGACCTATCCAAAGGCACACGGGATGGGGGGTAGTCAGACCCACAAAGCATCTCAAAGGATTTCTCTCCCTAGAAAGGAAATGATTCTTTCCACATTGGTGCTCATGCACCGCGTGAGGCTGGAGTCTGAGTTTCGGGTGCTGCAGCAGCAGTGGGAGGCTCAGGCAGGCCCCGTGGTCGAGGTGCTCCGAGCCTTCATGGGGAGGGGGGCCAAGAGGCGCTTCTCACAGGGCCTGGGAGCACCGACTGGGTAGTTGGTGTTAAGGCATCTGCGGCCGTGCCACACACTGGCCAGCTTTAGCACTGCTGGAGGCCCAGCCCTCCGCCCCTCCCGGGGTCAGCTCTGTCTGCATCTGGGCTGACCCCCTCTTTCTATTTTCATCCCACAGTTCAACAGCTTCGAGCAGCTGTGCATCAGCTTCACCAAGGAGAAGCTGCATTAGTTTTTCCACCACCACATGTTCGCGCTGGAGCAGAAGGAGTGCAAGAGGGAGGGCATTCAATGAGTCTTCATAGACTTTGGCCTTGACCTGCAGGCCTGCATCGTTGACCTCCTGGAAAAGGGACCCCGCTTCTCGAAGGAGGGGCTTGGAGAGAGGTCGGGACCCTGACTGGGGCACGTCTCAGGAGGGGATTTCACAGGGACCAGTGCTTTTGGGGGAATCAGCAACACAGCTGATGGCTCTTTTTATCTGACCTCAAGCTTCCTCTCTAAAACAGCACAACATCCACAGCAATGGTCACTGTTAGCTCGGCTGTATTAGGCCTTCACTCATTGGATCATCACAAGCTCCTGTGTGCAGGGCGTAATTTATTATAACCATTTCATAGATGGGAACACTGAGGCACCAAAAAATGAAGTTACTTGTCCATGGTCACCCATCCTATGAAAGGCAGAGTCAGGTTTTAACCATCTAATAGCCTCCTGTGTAATCACACCATAGGGAATGTTTTAACAAATGGCCCTCACTGGAGAATATATAAGATTAGTAGACGCAAACTATTTTATATAGAGTGGATAACAACAAGGTCCTAATGTAGAGCATATCCTGTGATAAACCATAGTGGAAAAGAGCATGAAAAAGAATATGTCTACATACGTATAACTAATCACTCTGCCATACAGCAGAAAAAACACAACATTGTAAATCAACCATACTTCGGCAAAATAAATTTTTTAATTGGAAAAGAAAATAAAAAAAGAATATGTATTGTTTGATCTTGGCCAGAAATGGTAACACTTGCAGGGGATTAGGACTCTGCCCTTCCAATAAACTGTGGAAAGTTCTGAAAGAGATGGGAATACCAGACCACCTGACTTGCCTCTTGAGAAATCTGTATGCAGGTCAGGAAGCAACAGTTAAAACTGGACATGGAACAACAGACTGGTTCCAAATCGGGAAAGGAGAACGTCAAGGCTGTATATTGTCACCCTGCTTATTTAACTTATATGCAGAGTACATCATGAGAAACGCCGGGCTGGAAGAAGCACAAGCTGGAATCAAGATTGCCGGGAGAAATATCAATAAGATATGCAGATGACACCACCCTTATGGCCAAAAGTGAAGAAGAACTAAAGAGCCTCTTGATGAAAGTGAAAGAGGAGAGTGAAAAAGTTGGCTTAAAGGTCAACATTCAGAAAACTAAGATCATGGCATCCAGTCCCATCACTTCATGGCAGATAGATGGGGAAACAGTGGCAGACTTTATTTTTTTGGGCTCCAAAATCACTGCAGATGGTGATTGCAGCCATGAAATTAAAAGATGCCTACTTCATGGAAGAAAAATTATGACCAACCTAGACAGCATATTAAAAAGCAGAGACATTACTTTGCCAACAAAGGTCTATCTAGTCAAGGCTATAGTTTTTCCAGTAGTCATGTACAGATGTGAGAACTGGACTATAAAGAAAGCTGAGCACTGAAGAATTGATGCTTTTGAACTGTGGTGTTGGAGAAGACTCTTGAGAGTCCCTTGGACTGCAAGGAGATCCAACCAGCGCATCCTAAAGGAAATCAGTCCTGAATATTCATTGGAAGGACTGATGTTGAAGCTGAAACTCCAATTTTGAAAAGACCTTGATGCTGGGAAAGATTGAAGGCAGGAGGAGAAGGGGACGACAGAGGATGAGATGGTTGGATGGCATCACCACCTCAATGGGCATGAGTTTGAGTAAACTCCGGGAGTTGGTGATGGACAGTGAGGCCTGGCATGCTGCAGTCCATGGGGTCACAAAGAATCAGACACGACTGAGTGACTGAACTGAACTGAACTTCCTTTGCAGGGGGCATCAGTTCAATCCCTGGTTGAGGAACTAAGATCCCACATGCCTCCCAGCATGGCCAAAGTAAAATAAATAAATAAATAAATAACACTTGCAAAAAGAAGGAAAAAAATCCATCAGCCCAATCAATTATTCCCCAGTTGACTGACTCATCCCTCTGACAGTTCATGGCCTCTGAACTAGCAAGGTGACATTGATAGAGTGGCTTTTGCACTCATGACAAACCTAGTCCTTGGGGAAGAGGGAAATTAAGTGCAGCCAAGACTCAGGTGTATTTGAATAATTGATGGGGGAGGCAAGCAGTGTTGCAGTCAATGCCAGTGCCTCCGGTTACCATGGCATTTGTTGAACCTCTGTGGGTTTAGCTTTGGGGAAACGGCAGGCTTAGGACCGAGCTGTCAGGAAAGCTGCTGTTTGACTGGGCATCAGAGCTGAGCGTTTATGATCTCCACAACCATGATGATGCCCATTACTGGCCAAAGGGACTGTGCTGCTGCCCAGAGAGGGCTTGGGGCCGAATTGCAGTGCTCCACCTCACCCCCTAAGATAAAATGAAGTGGGCTCCGTGTTTGTAGCAATGGGACATCCCAAGTCAACGGGGGCCTGTGCACTTCCAAGAAGGCTCTAAGATGGGGCTTGGAGGTGACGAACGTCATACACCACATAACAGAAGGAGAGCCCAAAGGTGCTGGCTTCTCATTTGCATCCCTAGATTCTCCGTGCTCAGGGGGAAGAGCTGAAAGATGCCTTCCTCTTTGCCTCTCCAGCTGGGGCCACCTGGCAAAATGGGAACGAGACAGTAGTGTGTGGCCAATGACTTCGGCCCATGGCGCTGGATGGATGGAGCCCCGCTCCCACCAGGCAATGTGGTGGTGGGGGAGGGAGCTGTGCTTCTCAGCTTCCCAGCAAGGAGAGAACAGATGCCCTTGTAGGGAGTTCTTCATGTGGCATGGGATTCCACGGGTCAAGGCCAGTTGCTGAGCCTGAAGTAAGATCAGCCGTCCTGGGTAGAAGGAGACCCAGGGGTCGGGGAGGCTCAGGGTGACCAGCAAAGCCAGACATGCGAGAGAAGGTCACACCTGGCAGAAAGTAACTGGGGAGTCCTCGTATGTGCGCACAGCTCAGAGATGGCGTGCCCTACACAGGCAAACTGCAAATGCCCAAGACGTGAGGCTTCTGGGACATCACAGGACTCCAGGCAAGTCATCAGGACGAGAACGGGAGCCCCGGGAGACGGGGCCGGGGATCTGGGTGTGAGGTCTGAAAGGTGGCCCTGGGGCTGAAATGTAACCACTGGCATCCGCTCCCCTACAGGAGGGTTACAACATCATGAGCTGGATAGAGAAGAACAAAGACCCCCTGAATGAGTCAGTGGTGGGCTCGTTCCAAAAGTTGAGCCTGGGGATCCCGGCCTTTCTCTTCAAGGAAGAGGAGGCGCTGGGTATGGCTGCCCCCTCATGTGTCCAGTCTCTCTGTGCTGATGCCCTTTAGTGACCAGGAGAAGAAAGAAGAAAACCAAACTCTCATATTCAACTATTGTTGAATGAATGAATGAATAACAAGTTGCTTGAGATCGTCTATGGATGCCAGTGCAATAAAGAGATGCAGAAGCATCCTGGGAGCTTCCATCAGCTGACACAATCACGGGGCCCCTACCACCTCTAAGGGGAGCAATATTGCTTCAGAGAAGCGGACATCCAAATGCACTGTGCTTATTTTCTGCTTCCCGCTCTCCTATCTGAAGCCAAATGTCAAGCCCAGCCCTGCCTCCTACCCTGCTGAGGTCCTGTGGCCGGCCCCAGGGGAACACCCAACAGGGCCACCACTCAGAGGGACAAGAACTGCAAATATTCCTGGGCTCGGAGATGTGCTTGCCACCAACATGCAGTTCCTCTGGATGGTCTGTGGGCTCCTCTCCTCAGGCAGTGGCGGCAGCAAGCGATCTCGGGCCAACCCTAAATCACACAGGGCCACAGGGCGCATGGCACTCCTTGTGATAGTTATGCCACAGGGCAGCCTGTTCACCTTCTCCCTGGTAGATCTCATTTACCTGGTGTGGGGGGCCCCCCTCAGCTAGACCCCAGACAAGCCTTTTCGAAACCAGAGAACATACATCCTTGACACTGAGCCTACCCCTCTGCTGGCCACTGACATGAAGCAACGTTCTCTGTCTTCCTCAGCTAGAAGCAAGAAATGGAACAAGGGTCTTCCTTCATGACTGTCTCCAGCTACTACAGGGTAAGTAGGTAGGTGCTGCCCCAGAGGCCGCCTGGTGGCCAGTATCCCCAACTCTCCCTTTCACTGGAGATGTGGTCTGGCTAGCCATCTCGCAGCCCAGGACAGGATGAGTCCATTTCTATGCCTTTGGTCGCCTCTTTCATTCAAGGGGTCCATTTCCTTCTGCAGAGGGCACAGAACCACAGACCGCAGGGCAGGAAAATCCCTTAGAAACGGTCCAGTCCAACTACACTGTTTCAGACTGAAAACCCAGGGGATGATGGGACTTGGCCAACATAACAAGTGGAAATATCAATGCCTATGGCCTTGTGCCAGTGGGTCTTCTGGGCTGGTCACAACTTCCACAAAGTTTGGGCATTACTGGAAACATGTTTCAAAGTGCAGAAATGCAGCCAATGTGGGAGATGTTGCACATAGAATGATTTCAGTGCTTCACAAGGATCTGGCTTTCCTAAGGCAGAGTGGGCCACCCCACCGTATCCCAACTGGAAGATGAGGGTTCAGTAGGGAGGTTTAAAATGGGGAGGGATTTGTTCATACAGGCATTACAATTCCTTCTAGAAGCAAGATTCTACAGTGAGCCGGTGCTGAATTCAGAGGATCCCTCTTCTTGTAAAACCTGTCACTCTGGGCACGTCCCTGGACCTCTGAGAGCATTGCAATCTAACAGAACTTTCTGCAATGGTGGAATGTTTTCTTCTGTCCAATACAGCTGCCACTGCCCAATATGCTGTCTGGTACAATAGCCACCAACCATGCATGGCTTGTGAGCACCTGAAAAGTGACTGGTGTGACCGGAGACCTGAATTGTAATCACAGTTAAATTAATTAAACTCTAAACAAATACCTCTCCTGAGCATAGGTATCCTGTCACACCAACACTGAGCTAATGCTTCCTTTCCCTCCACCCCCCGGAGCAGTGGAACAAGCTGATGACCACCCTGCACGGCACCTCCCCCTATTTTGTCTGCTGTATCGTCCCCCATGAGTTTAAGCAATCAGGCACCTCATAGGAACATGCCTCCCAGTTGGAAGCTTTCAGGATGTGTGAAGTTGGGGTTCGCTCCACATTAAGTCCACTTATAATCACAGGTTGACTGGGGCAGAACCGGGCACTGAAAGAACCTCCAACAATGGATCATCCGAAGATCACGTTCTAGCTGCTACTTTGTACAGCAGAGTGGGCTGGTCTAGCCAGAGTCACACTCAGGAGAGCCTTTGGTCCTTGGCTGAATTGTGGGGGATCTGGGACCCCCCTGGGCAGTGACAAGAGGAGATGAGGACATGGATATGCAGGTCTGCGTCCCTGAGGGACAAGGAGTGGCCTCAGATACCCCAGGGTAGTAACTCGCTGTCCTGTTCCTCCCTCTTGGCAGGCGCGAAGGACGCCCACCTGATCATGCACCAGCTGGCTTGCAACGGAATCTTGGAAGGCCTCCGGATTTGTGGGAAGGGCTTCCCAAACAGGCTGCAGTACCCAGAGTTCACACAGAGTCTTCCTGACACCTCAAGCACAGTTCTCGGCGTCCGCGGTTGGCTCTTGATAAACACAGTCCCATTGGAGAGGCACTGTGGGCGCCTGATGGACAGTATCTTATTGTCACTACTTCTGTACACAATGACGCGACTTTCGGAGGCCAGCACCTGCGCTTCTTTGCCTGCGGGCTCTCTCTGGCTGCAAAAGTCTGCTTTGCTCTTGGCAGGCTGAAATGATCAGCAACTAATGACGCCCACCCTGGCCCAGGAGCAGCCCTCAACCGGTAGGACTGAGAACAGTTGGCGTATAAATACTTCAGCTCCCACCCCTGGTGCTGGGCCAGCTCCGAGGCGTCTCCTCTGCTGGCTGTCAGACAGCTGTGTGTTGGTGAATGTTTAACAACAGGGCTCCAAGTTAACATTTAAAAGAGAAAAAAAAAAGAAGCAGCCCTGATTTGTGGCATCTACTGATTTCCATGGTATAAATACTCCCACTCTGTGGTAATTTCAAGCTACCAATGTGACATCACTGCATGCGGGGTTGGTAAGAGACGCACAGAGGCTCCTGTGAGCTAGGGGGAGCTGGTCCCGCACACCAGGGTCCCCCAGTAGCATGAAGCCCCAGATAGCTGTGGTGATAACTGACTCGATAACATGCTTTTTGCTGGCTTCCCTGCCCCACTCCCCAGCTCTGGCACCTCTCAGATAAACTACTTGCACAGAATCCTTGAGTTCTGTTTCTGGGGAGCCCAAACTGAGACCTCCATCCTAGGGGTTCTTTTACTTCGACCCCCTTCCTAACTGCTAGAACACATGGTCACAGATGATGGAGCAGGAAGGGTCAGTAGAGGTCATTCTGTCCAAGCCCTCTGAAGTCCCTAACTGAGGAACGACTAAAGGGGCTGCTGGCAGGTCAGGAAAAGGAGTGGTTCTGCCACACCTGGAGGAAAAATCAGGAAGGAAAGATTTGGTGCCTTCCTGTAAGCCCCCTCCCTCTACCTGCCATGGGTCTTTGCAAACCAAGTCTAACACCTGACTCAAAGGCCATCTCACGGATGGACGGTGACCATGCAGGCAGACTTTCTGGGCTGCCAGCTTGGGGATGATGAGGACTGTCATTGTCTCTCCCAGCAGGTACCACGTGCTGAACCCCAATGTGATTCCTCAGAGGTTCGTAAACAAGAAGGCCTCAGAGCTGCTCCTGGGGTCCATCAACCTGGATGTCAATGAATACAAGATCGGACACATCAAGGTAGGGTCTTCTCCCTCAGCCTTGTCCCAGGAAGGTGGGTGTCAACATGTGAATTTCAGTTCAGCTGTGGACCAGTTGGGTCAAGATGCTGAGAGCCTCTGTTTCCTCTTCCGAAAAATTGGGGCTGCTAAAGCCAGAGGATTGGGAGTAGCGTGTGTGAGAACTCAGCTCAGACAGAGCAGTGCTCAGTGAACAGGAGAACTTTTCTTAGGACTGCATAGGCCCCAGATTTCTAAGAATAAAAGGAGACAATCTGAATCAAGGTCCTGGATTGGACCAGGGTACCGTGCTATGTGTACGGGCGAGGTCTGGGGGTGAAGTGCCCAAGCCCAGCCCACCCACACTGCGAGCTCTGGCCCTGAGTTGGCAGGTGAGTTGGGGTTGACTCAGACTGAGCGAATGCCCGACCCTGACTCACAGGGCCTGTGTCTGCGCCACTTCCTGGCCCTGCAGAATCCTGTCGGGATTGGAAGGGCAAGGCTGAGGGTGGGAGGTGTCCATCGACAGCTGCCCAACCAGTCTGCACCCCAACGTGACAGCCAGGGCGATGTGGGAAGGGCACTGGCTTTGCATCAAGCTCAGCGCGGGCCGCCAAGCAGCCCTGAGTGGGTTGCCTGCCCGCAGATCTCATTGGGGCCCAGGCAGGCGCAGCTTCTCCGCTGACCTGGGGTGGCTGGAAGCCCGGGGAAGTTCCACATTGCATGTGCGTCCAACACCTACGGAGCACCTCCTGTGTGACAGGCATGGTTCCAGGCTTACGGATATGCAGGTGGACAGAACAGAGTCCCTCATTTCCTGCAGCTTGCTCTGTAGCCAGCGGTGTTAGCAGGATTGTAACACCACTCTCAAATCTGCCGGCACCATTAGCTTTGGCCTCCTGCACCACTGAGCTAAACTGACTTATGGGAACTTGGTCACAGAACTGCTGAATACCTGAGCCAGAAAGAACCTCTGAGTCTAGCTCCTTCCCCTACCTCACCTTTGATGGGTGGGAAACAGGAAAGCCTGGAGAAGGTGTGGAGGTCACATTCCCAATTTCACAGGACTAGGCAGGACAGAGCAGGCCTCAGGCCCCCCCGGCCGCAGTCCTGTGATCAGGGAGGCCAGGGCTGACATCGCCTGTATCTGACACAGAGGGAGAGGGCCGGTTCTGCTCAGAGGCCCCACAGACCAGAGGCAGAACCGAGCAAGGCCACTGCCCTTGGGCAGTCTGTCTCTGGGCAGGCAGACTGCACCTTGCTTAGTCCAAGGGTTGCATTGGGCACCTCGGGTCCAGGTAAAGGCCTGGGGCTGCTGGGGACAGCTCCACTCCCTGGGGGCCAGACAGGCTCTGGCGGCAGGGGCAGAACAAGGGACAGAATGACTCTGCCTGTATGCGGTGTCCCTGCCTGTGACTCATGTGGGCTCTGCCCCACCAGCCACATGCTCGCCTCACTGCTCCTCAGAGACCAAATCTCAACCACATGTAACTTGGAAATATCAAGCCCAATGTCTCTACCTTATGATGGCTACTGTTTGGGGTTTTGTTTGAAAGAGGGCAGGGGGAAGAAGCATCCTTTTCCACCTTTTTCCTCTCAGTCAACCACATAGAGGATTCATCTGAGGGGGTTCCAACCCCATATCCGTGGGACCATGACTGTCCCAAGCCTGCTTTGTGAGGTAGTAAAGAATGAAGAATTGATGCTTTTAAATTTGGGGCTGGAGAAGACTCTTGAGAGTCCCCTGGACAGCAAGATCAAACCAGTCCATCTAAAGGAAATCAGTCCTGAATATTCATTGGAAGGACGGATGCTAAAGCTCCAATACTTTGGCCACCTGATGCTAAGAGCCGACTCATTGGAAAAGACCGTGATGCTGGGAAGATTGAAGGCGGGAGGAAAAGGGGACGAGAGAAGCTGAGGTGGTTGGATGGCATCACCGACTCGATAGATATGAGTCTGAGCAAGCTCTGGGAGTTGGTGATAGACTCCCGTCACCTGGCGTGCTGCAGTCCATGGGGTGGCAAACAGTCAGACACAACTGAGCGACTGAACAACAAAAAAGGAAGGCCCCCTGGCGTCCTGCTGCCGAGCAGTCACCTTATATAGCAGTGAGGATCCTAACAATCTGTCACATTTTACTCAGAGCTTCACAGTCTGCAGAAGCACTTCCTTCCCATTATTTCATTTTTATAGTAACCCTCTAGGGGATGGATCGACACCCCCATTTCCCAGACGAGGCACTGAGGCCCTGAGATGTGAGGAGACGTGTCCGAGGTGACCCAGCTAGTAAGCGCCAGGCCAGGCTGGAGCCCATAGGAAGGTCCACGAGGAGCAAGAGGAGACAGACGCTGGGGCTGGGGTGCTCCGCCGGGCAGGTGTCCAGGCCGACGCCAGCTGTTTCCCAGGGGCCTCAGACATTCGGCACCAGGGTCTCCAAACGCTGAAGGGCCCTTCTGAAATATCGTTCTTTGCTTTTGAACTGCCACCCCCACCCCCACTCCGAAGCATCTGCCATTGGTGAGCCGGGCTATTCTCAGATCACTGTGTCTTTCCGCCAGGTGTTCTTCCAAGCGGGCATCCTGGCCAGGCTCGAGGACATGCGGGATGAATGCCCCGCTAAGCTCATGAGCACGCTGCAGCGGCGGCTCTGCGGTTTCCTTGTGAGGGTCGAATTTAAGAAGATGCTGGAACAAAGGTAGCACCTTGGTGGGGTGGGCCCACTGAAGCCTCACCATTCACATGGAGCAGCTGGGGACCCCTCCACACACACGGCGGTCAGCTCCACCAGTGACAATGGGCAATGTGGAGGCAGGCTGGCAGCGTCGCTGCCGGCACGAAGGACCCTCGGCAGGAATTTATTTTCCCACAGTTCTGGAGCCCAGGAGTCTGAAACTAGGGCCTTGGCAGGCAGGCTCCCTCCAAGGCCTGCAGAGGAGCCTCTCCTGCCTCTTGCAGTCCTGGTGGGCCAGGCCCTCCTTGGCCTGTGGCTGCCCCACTCCAGTCTCTGCCTGTGTCCTCACATGCTCTCCCTTCTTTCTATAAGGACACCAGTCATCTGAGGTTAGCCACCCCCGCTCTCCAGGATGGGGGCTTCCCAGGTGGCACTAGTGGTAAAGATCCTGCCTGCCAAAGCAAGAGATGTAAGAGACACAGGCTCGATCCCTGAGTCGGGAAAATCCCCTGGAGGAGGAAATGACAACCCACTCCAGTGCTCTTGCCTGCAGAATCCCATGGACAGAGGAGCCTGGAGTCCATGGGGTCACACAGAGTCGGACACGACTAAAGTGACTTAGCACACACACACGCATTCCAGTCTGACCTCATCTTAACCTCAGTAATTCCATCCGCAAAGACTCTATTTCTGAATACGGTCACAGTCACAGGTTCTGGGAGGTAGGACTCCAGGGTATCTTTTAGGAGGGGACACAGCTCAACTCCTGACAGGGACCACCTAACACAAACCTTTCTCTTTACAATCGACAAGTCACTCACAGCCTTCGTACTTGATCCAGATGATGACACTGAGAGAGGGGTGTGGTGGGGCCAGCAACCCCATTTTACAGATGTGGAAACTGAAATCAGAGGGTGATTAAGGTACTGGGCCAGAACGATCAGAACCCAGAAGTCTTCATTCCAAATCCCTGCCCTCAGAATCATGTTTTTCAGCCATCTCCCTAAAATGGGAATCGGAAAAAAAGCTCTGGAGGCCCTGTGGTGGACTCTGGCCCTCTGTGGTCACAGTATAAGTAATTAAAACAGTAGTGAAGAAGTAATAACAGTAGTGAAGTCCGGAAAGCCACCAGCAGGCCCCCTGTGATCCAGGCAAAGGCAGGGATATAAGTCAGGGGCTAAGTGGTGGGACTCAGTGTCCAGAAGCCCCCCACTGGATGACAGCTGAAAGAAGCTGTTAGGGGCCAGGAGGGCTGATTCCAGAGGCTGCAGACGATGGGATCTGAAGGCTAAATGGACGATTCCAGTGAGGGAGTGGAAGGAGGGGCAATGCAGGAGGAAATGTCTGAGAGGAGCAGGTTCCACTGGGGAGCCCGGTCCTCTATCACCCTCCCCCCATACCTGCGTTTTAACCCCTGCAACCCCGGATTCTTTTTTGCAGGATGGGCCTGAAGGTCATCCAGAGGAACACATGAAAGTTCCCGCAGCTGTGTTTCTGGGGCTGGTGGAAGCTCCACAACAATGTGCGGGCCTCGGGGCCTCGGTCGTTCCGGACACAAGGGCCTAGGGGGTGGCAGGCCTCTTAGGGACTAGGGAGGCTGCAGGGACGGCCTGAATGAGGGTGCCTTGGAGGAAGAGTGCAGCCTCCTTTCAGGCAGGGGTTGACTCCCCCTGAGAAAAATGATGGTGTGTCCTCCCAACTTTCAACTTATCCCTCAAAACAAAGCCCTCTGAGGATGCAGAGTGCGCCCCCCGCCCCCTGCTGAAATGTGGGTCTGGCGCTCAGTGCCTCACCCCTGGGCATGCTGAAGCCCCTTCAACTCCTTCAGTGAAGTTCTCAGCTTTAGGAAACCATGGGATCCCGTCTCTCCTTTCCCATGCTGTTCTGAGGCAGTGAGGGTGAGTGAGTCAGCTGGGTGGTGGGGCTGCAGGTGCCCAAGCAACCAGGCCACACTTAACCAATGCAGGAGTCCACGAGCCACCTACTACATATGGGTCGGGTCATCTTGGAGCCTGGCATCCCGCCTGGGGCCCCCGTTATGAGGAAGCACGCCACTGGACCCCAGGGGCAGGGCTGCTGTATTCAGGATGCCGGAAGACGGGGTTGTCTTGAGGGGCAAGGTGTTCAGAGAAGCTATGAGGAGGGCTGGACAGGCCATAGGTCATCTCTGGGGGCCCGGAGCCCCCCACAGCTCACGCAGAAGCTTCTTTCCCCTCCCCGTAGGAAAGGACTTTCTAACAATCAGTGCTGACCACAAGTAGAAAGGTGGGGTGGTGGGGAGGGGCGCGGATAGTAAATTCTGCATGGCCAGAGGAAGCCATGCACAGGCCAGCCTGCTGGAGGGCTTGAGATTGCAAAGGGAGCTAAGTAAGAATTTCTCAAATTTGGACATCACGGTACTCTCCCCGCCTGTTCTGTGTCTGGCCTTCTTTCCTTAAATCAACTCCCTGTTTTACTTTGAAATTTTTATTTTAAAAGGAAACTTCGCATCCTTACCTGTCTCATCCCAAGCAAGTTATCCATAAAAACTGAAGATTTAGGACTTCCCTGGTGGTCCAGTGGTTAAAAGCTCCATGCTCCCAATGCAGGGGGAATGGGTTCAATCTCTGGTCAAGGAGCTAAGATCATCACATGCCTCTCATGTATGGCCTAAAACAAGAAAACAAAACAAAACAAAACCCTGTAGATTTAACAAGTTCTTTTCCATGTTCAAAAAAAAATTTTTTTTTCAAAATCATTTATTAAACCATTACTTTTCAAAGCTTAAAAAAATTTTATTGCAGCTCCTTTATCATGTTGTGTTCGTTTCTGCTACACAGCAAAGTGAATCAGCTACATGTATACATGTATCCACTCTTTTTTGGATTTCCTTCCTATTCAGGTCAGCACAGAGCACTGAATAGAGTTCCCTGTGCTGTACAGTAGGTCCTTATTAATTAGCTACTTTATACATAGTATCAATGGTTTATATATGTCAATTCCCATCTCCCAATTCATTCCTTTTTCCCCCACCTCCCACCCCTCTTCCCTACCCCGGTCTCCCCCAATGAAAATCCAAAGGTTACCATGCGATGGTGGAATCCATCTCGCCCGCCCCGCTCAATTTATGAATTACCCTTCGGGAAGCCCCAGACCAACAACCTTTAAGATTCCTTCCAAGCTGGACATAAGTGACCACAGATGACAAGGGGACAGAGCCTGAAAACTTTTCTGCCTCTTTACCAGGAAGGGAAATTCACTAATTAAACATAGCAGAGCAAGTTCCTGTTCCAAGGAGTAAAAATGTAAAATTAACTCAAAATCCTTTATTCTTAGTTTGTTAACTAAAATCTAACCTGATTTAACTAAGCCGGATAGGATGATTCAGTGGACAAAGCAACACTCTGGGGGAGGTTTTGCTGGGATAAAAAGTGTTACTTAGTTGCAAGTGATGCTTACCATCACCTTGTTATGCAAACTTTGCACAGCAGGATCCCAGATTCCCACAGACCAGGCTGGTGAGGACAAGTTTATCTGAAATCCTGAAAGTGAGGCAATGCCTCCGCCCTAATCCATTTCCATTTCCTAATCAATAGGTGGTGTTTGCCCTCCAGAAAACTGTATCCAATAATCAGGAACTATCCTGAGGGCCTAGTCGGGCCTACCCTGCTTGGTGCTCTGAGGGCAGGATGGAGTGGGAAGGGGCGGGGCGGGGTTCCTGGTCTGGTGGGGATCCTGGTCTAGCCAGGCAGAGGAGCGGATGGGCCCAGGCCCCCTTGAGGAATGTGTCCAAACCACGAGAGGTCCAGACCGAAGAGGAGCCGCTGCTTCCGGACGAAGGCTGAGCAGGCCCAGCCACATGGTGATGGGACGGAGCGGGGTGGAGGCCAGAGGCAGAACATGCCAGCTGAGTGGGAGCAGGAGTGAGCCAGCTACATGGTGGGAGACCTGGAAGGGCACTTGGGGAACTGGACCTTCATGCTGGGGAGAAGATGAAAGATGCAAAAGACAGAGAGAGTGAGAGAGACAGAAAGACAGACACAGAGAAAGACAGAGTGCAAGAGAGCGACAGAGGACTCAGCAGGCAGAAAGACAAGGGAAACCGGAGCTGTGAATTCAGCCAGCGCTCCTGAGCACGCAGAACGTACAGATCAGACATAACCACAGGGCACAGCAAGACTGCGTCTAAATGTGTCTCTCTTCTCCCAGAGCGACCTGAGGACTGGTCCTGAGCAAGGATGGACCTGCGGTGGGTGCTCAGGGATGCACAGCTGCAGCGAGAGATTCTTTCCATGCCAGAGGGGGTATGAGGGCCCATTGGAGGCAGAGCCCCCACAGCCACCTGGCAAAGCCCACCCCCCTAACCCTCTATGGTGTTGCTCACCACCCAGATCAAGCCACTGCTGAACATGGCCCGGCAAGAGGAGGAGATGAAGGTCAGGGAGGAGGGGCTGAGGAGTGCCACGGCCAAGGCGCAGGAGCTGCTAGGCAAGGTCGTGGAACTGGAGGAGAAGACGGCCACGCTCAGCCGGGAGAACGACCTCACCGACCAGCTGCAGGCAGCACGTGGGGCCTTGGGCAAAACGGCACGAGCGGGGGGCCTTGGCACGAGTCAGACCCAGAAAGGAAAAGGAGGGTCACCTTCCAAGAAGGCTTGTCCATCCAGGCCATGGGGAATTCCTAGTCTTACCTTTCCTTCATTGCCACGTCACCCTGACCCAACTACCAAAAATCTCCATCACATTCCTGTTTGCCCACAGCAGCAGGCTGGGCACACACACATACAGCACATGCGGCGTCTGGGGGATTATCCAGACATTGGGGGAGGGGCGGTCACAGGATGGTGGGAGGAGCACCCCTAGCTTCCCTGAGGACCTTGGGACCTTGCCCTCTTTTCTCTGACTCCTTTTCCTCGCCCATCAAGTACAAACACAATAGGGAGAACAAATGACCTAGTTTTCGTGGGAAGCCGGACTCCCAACACGATGAGTGGCTTCCCTGCCATGACCCTGCTGGTTTACCGAGGTCCTTCTCTGATTTGACCGTCACAACCACCTCTTAAGACACCCAGTTCTCACGTGTATCTTCAGGGTAGAGAAGTCCACTTGACTGAACTTTGGAGACTAGATCACGGTCCCAAGGCTATCAGAAGAAGACCTTTGACCCGTGACCAGGAGGGGCCCAGTGCCATCTCGACCCTCCCTGCTGTCACGGCCGTGTCTCCTTGGCTATCATGGTGTCAGCACTTGCATCATCCACCCACCTTCCCTAAGCTGTCCCTAACATCGTTCTTCCATAGCCTCTCCACAGTCCAAAGAAGTTGCTCCGGCTGGGACCCTCATTTGGTGTTTGGGAGGCTGAGACCAAGTGAGACCACAAGGATAATAGGATCTTCCACTTATAGAAGCACCTTCATGATGACCCTTTCCCTTATTTTGCAAAGAACTGAATTTCCGTAAATTTATGCCACAAACTGAAAGTCATCTAGCTGGTCTGGTCTTCTACCTACATGGCTACTGACCTCATCTCAGGGAGACCCCAGGGGACACCCCCACTTACTGCCTGTGTGCCTTCTGACAACTCCACCCCCCTCTGTATGTCGGTTCTCACAACACCTGCCTGGCTCGCTTCTCAGCATTGTTCTAAGGATGAACTGCGGACATCGGAACCGGATTGTTAACACAAAAGTGCTAAACCAATGCTGGGAGTTATTTGGGTGGATGGAAGCACAGTCACACCCGGAGTCAGCGGACCAGATGGCAGAGCCCGGACTTCTCCTAGACCACTCTCCTAGCACCTCGAGGTGCATCTGATCACCTGGGATCTCGTTAAAATGCAGATTCAGATGAACAGATCGCAGGTGCGGCCTCGGATGTTGCATCCTAACCGGCTTGCTGGTGCTGCTGCTGCTGCTGGTCTGGGGACCGCGCTCCTGGATGACCCTTGGTCCCGCACATTGGCAAGGAGCTTGGAGAGCCTGGCTCCCCGTCCAACCCCCAGGACACGTTTGCTTGGGGCCCACCAGCCCCAGGCCAGTTTGCAGTCATTGTCCCCTGCAGGTGCTGAGACCCTGCCTTTGACCAACGCTCTTTCCCCCACCAGGAGCAAGAGAACCTGCTGGATGTGGAGGAACGCCTGACCCCGATGATGAAGGCCAAGATAGGGCTGGAGAGCCCGATCTGCAACATGCGAGAGCGGCTGGAGGAGCAGGAAGGCCTGTCAGCCCCGTTGAGCTCCGAGAAGCGCAAGCTGGAGGGGGAGCTGAGCGACCTCAGGCGGGACTTGGAGGGCTGGGGAGACCATGCTGGCCAAGACGGAGAAGGAGAAGCAGGCGGGGAGGCCCCAGGCCTGATTCTAGTCCTCCCAGGGCCAGGGAACTCCTAGTCCACTCACCCTGCAGAAGCCACACCCAGAGCCCCCCAGCAGTGCTGCCTGGGACCCAAGCTGCCAGCCAGATGCAGCTATTTTAACTTAATTCAGCACAATTTCAAAGGCGGCTCCTCGGTCAACCTGGCTGCATTTCTAGGGCTCAGTAGCCACGCACAGCCCATGCTACAATGTCAGACAGAGCAGCTGACTCGGGGCCGAGGGCTGCTCCCCTCGTGGGGACACCTGGGCCTGGCTGGGTCTCCTTGTGCCTGGGTTCCCGGGTGTCTGCCTGGCCCACTGCCCACTCGGCCTCAGCATCCCTGGAGCCCCTCACGGAACATCCCTCTGTACCACCAACCATATCTGCAACCCCCCTTCCCAGAAGAAGCAACCCTGTTGTAAGGCGGAGTCACCTTCAGTTGCTCAGTTTCTGCCCAAACAAGCAGTTGCTTCCCCTGCAAGCAGCTCCCCGGCTCCTGGTACTGCCTGGCTGGCCCTTAGCCCCAGGCCCCCTTCCAATCTCACATGGATGGGACCCCCCAGCAAGGGAAGGTGGACCGGGGTATCTCCAGTGCTGAGGTGCACACGAACCACCAGGACCTCGATCAGATGCAGACTCTGGGCCGCCAGGTCTGGTGCGGCCGAGGGGCTGTGTTCCCGACAGTCCCGGCGATGCCGTGGCTGCTGTCTGAGCACCAGTCGTTGAGAAGCCAAGGCCTGATGGTGTCCTCGCTGCCCCCTCACCCCGAGATCCTGACTTGGCTGGGCATTGGCATCTCCCGGGCCCCTAGGTGACCCTGGGGTGCAGCCGTGCTGAGGACCTCCTCTTGGAGCATGTGCCGCTCCCCTCTGCCCCCAAGGATATTCCCAGCCTTAAAGTCCCACATCCCACCTCCAGGCCCTGGATCACAAAGCCCGTTTGCTGATTGGGGACCTCTCCCTTCGAGAAGACTCCATCGCCAAGCTCCAGAAGGAGAAGAGGGCGCTACAGGAGCTGCATCAGGTGGCTACCACCTGCCTTTCCCCTTGAAGGAGAAGGTGGAGCTTAGAGACAGGAGACCCCTGTTCAAATCCCAGCTTTGCCACCCCTCAGCTGGGGGCCCTGGGAAGTCACTGAGTCTCCCTGAATCACAGTGCCTTTGTCCATCAAGCAGGCACGGGCACTGGCGGCCTCCCTTCCAGGTTTGCTGTGGTGGGGTGATCATGGCATTTATCACCCAAACTAGAACAGGTTCAGAGTGAAAGGGGGCAGCAGGTGTGGGTCAGAATGGTCCAGGCACCAGGGAGGGATGCTCCTAGGATTGTAAGGACAAAGTGGGCCCATGGAAGTGCCCTGGAGCCCTAAAGCACCAGCAAACCTCAATTCATCGCAGCAACAACAGATGTGAGCTCTTGAGATCATAGGGCTCTGAGTGCAGAGCCAGCTCTGACCACCCATCAGTGCCAACGGTGGCACGGAACACCTCCTAGCCCAGACAAAGGCTCCAAGAGCAAGTTGAAGCCCCGAACCAGACTCAGTGGACCCGCATCCCTGTGTTTGTTGACATCATGGATCTACCTGTGTCCCCAGAGCGCCTCTCTCTGCTGCCTCTGGCAACACCTCCCCTTAGACTCTGACTCTCCATCATATCAAACCCAGGGCCCCCTTTTATAACAAACACACTCAGTTCTCATTATTCAAGGTGGTGAAGTCACTGAATGAGCAAAGCCTGAACCTCTGCACTCAGGGAAATACAGGGTTAGTTTCCTGCAAACCTTTGGTCAGTGTTTTTTCTCAACCCATCAATACATCATACATAGGATTTTGATGAATACATTATCCTGTTTTATGTGTGTTTCTGTTGAAAAACACACAGTGTTTAGTACGTATTGTTGATTCCTTGACATTGAACTCACGGGCAGCCGTCACCGTACCTCAGGCCTGAGCAAAGCTCATCAGACACACAGATTTTCTCTGCAAAGCCCTGCAGAGCCTTCTTGTGACAGGAACACCAGGCAGCTTGGTGGCATCGTAAGCAGTGAAATCACCAAAACAGAAGCACCGATGTAAAAACACAGGCACTAAACAGAGCAGGAAAAGGACACCTGTTTGCAGTAGGAGCTGAACCGAGATGATAGAGCATCATTTATCCAACCTCAGCTGGGAATGTGCTCCTCAGGCGACTTGACATTTCCGCTGCTCTGCGTGTCTGTGAATGGCCCACAAAAGCACCATGAGTATTGATCTGGGGATTACGAATAAACTTTAGCGAGTAGGTCAATTGGCAAATAGATAACTCACAGACAACGAGGATCAACTGTATTTTGGAAGGCCCTCTTACTATCCTGAATTGAAGACAACGATAATGTGACTAATACATATCTTCAGGAAAATCAATTGGGTGCCCTTCCATATAAATGGAGAAATGAGTGACATTAATTCATAATAAATAATGAGTCTGTCAAAGTGCAAAAGCTCGGGTGGATCTGAGAGCGCGGCCTGCCCGAGCCCGTCTCTGACGGCTGCAGATGGGCACTGGAGGGGGTGTTGGTGACTCAGGTAGCCAAGGGTGGGTGCTGCCAGTGATGAGATTTTACCAAACAGAGAATAATTCTCAGGGAAGTTTCAATAACAAGTAAAATCCTCTCTCAGTTTTCATGGTAGATCACTCTTTTAAAATGTAGTGTATACTAAGTGAAAAAAAAATTTGAGTTAAACGTGAAGAGGTGCTGAGTTCTAGGTTCAGAAGGGCATAAATAGTTGTTTACTTACATGAATGCCTGGCTGGACTGCAGAATTATTCTTCATGACCCATTGTCCAGAGCAAAACCAGACATCCAGCAAAACCTCACCCACATAGTGAGGACCCCAAACATTATGACAACCAGAAGCCACACCCCTGCAGATTTCCTATATGCCCCTTGGAGAACCAGAGCTCCCAGCTGCCCCTGGGGTCCACGTGCGGCTGATGGGAGATCAGTCTGCCCTGGCCTCACGCATCACTCAGAAGCATGTGCTCTGTAACTGGTCACTGACATCATCAACTCGGCCCGGAAGTGATGGCAGAGAACCAGCTCTATTCAGTTGCTCCCACCTGCCTCATGGGACACATGCGTGTATCTTTCCAGAAAATCCTTGGTGACCTGCAAGCTGAGGAGGACAAGGTGAACCCCCTGACCAAGACCAACAGCAAGCTCAGCCCCGAGATCCACAAGGTACCGTCCCTGGGCCTGATTCTACACCCTGATGGCCAGGTCTGTCCATTCTGGGAACCAGGAAGTAAGGGTCTTTCTGATGCCACAGCTAAGGAAGCTGGCCCAGTCTGGTTCTTTATTGCATTCTGGCCTCAGACATCCCCCTCCCCCACCACACACACAGCTCTACTTTCTCTTGTATTTTTTGTCTCCGCAGCTGGAGGATAACTGGAAACAGGAAAAGAAAATTTGGGCGGAAGAGGAAAAGGCTCGCTGGAAAGCTGAGAGTGACCTGAAGATTACCACCGACCACCTCCATAAGATGGAGCTATCCACCTCCAGGAGGTTGTGGGAAAGTACACAGTCTTTCCTTTGGCCTGCAGCAGTGTTAGCAACGCGGAGCACTTCCTGGACAGCGCTGTGCTCAGGGCCTTGTGTACTAAACGCACTTCCCAGCACCCACTCTGTGCCAGGCACTGTGCCCGGCACGGAGGATCAGGGAGGCAGGAGTAGCTGCTCCCTGTGCTCAGGGAGCTCCCAGCCTCACACAGCGCCATGGACGCTGGACAAGAAGCTGACAGTAAGCAAAGCGGCCACCCCGAGGGAGGGAGTCTGCACAGAAGCCTCCAAACCGAGCTGTCCAAGATCACGAGGAGAGGAGGGGCTATGTTATCAGTGTCATCCTGGGGATAACACCGAGGACAGGTGGGGTGAGAAAAGCTGGCAGCAGGAAGACAACTGGGAGGCTCCTGCAACAGTCCAAGCATAAACCAGAACCAAGTCAGAGGCCAGGGAGAAGGGAGAGAAGGAGGCAGGTAAGGAGGGCCGTTGTGGGGCAGAAGCTGCATTCTGTGTCCTTGAAGCACATTCTGCCTAAGGCAGGTCTAAAGCGCCACTGGCTGCTCAGACAGTGTGTGCAGCCAAATCCTCTCAGCCTCCCTGGGAGGCACACCCAGAAGGTGCAGGTGGGACCCTGGCCCATCTTCCCCATCCATCTGCTTGGTCTCTGGCCTCTTAGTTCTCACATGTGGCTCCTGACACGTGGGACTCATGCATCAGGAGGAGACAGCCTTTGGTGGCAAGGTTTTGGAGGAACGTTTTCCCTAAAAAGGACAGGTGTCTTGTGCAATTCTGGGGTCTGCAGACTGTAAGCATCACCAGAGCAGTGACTTCTGTCCGTTTTGTTCACTGAAGAGTCCCTGGAATCCCAGGCGATGTCTGGCACCAGGAGGGACTCAATAAGTAAGAGGCAAAATAATAAATGCACGAGTGAGTGAATGAATGGGTGGGTGCATGAGAAGCCAGTGGGACAGAGTCTAGGGCTCAGTGAGGTGACTCATCTATAGGGTGAGGGGGTCTCAGCAGGGTTAAGGTCTCTCCCAGCTCCACTCCCGCGCCAGCTCACTAGCCCAGCCCCAGAGCTTTTCCTCAGGAGGGCAAACCTCCTCCCGCAGGAGGGAAATGGAAATCAATTCTGTCAACTCTAAGCATGAGGACGAGCAGTCTCTGAATTCCACATCGCAGCGGAAACTAAAGGAACGCCAGGTCTGTCCGGGGTGGAGGAGACCCGGCTCCTCTCCTGAAATGCACTGGCCTGGGCCTCGGCCCCTGGCTGCTGACCAGCTGCTGCCACAGAGTCTTCAGAGATGGACTCACGGCCGCCTCACGCTGGCTTCAGTTCCAAGTCCTCACGGTGGCCGCAGGGCGCTCCACGATCTAGCGCTGCTCCCTCCCTAGCTCGTCCCCCACCATCCCCCACGACTCTGTCCAGGCCAGCCAGGCTGGGCCCCTGGCGCGATCGTGCACACCCCAGCCTCCCTCCTGCCTCAGGGTCATCGCACACTGTCTGCGCCCTGCTTCCTTCTGCTTTTGACAGCGTCCCGCATGGGCTTAAGCTGCCGTCTCTCATTTCCATCCTACAAGGCCGATGGGTAGGTTTCTAACCTCACACCGGAGAGAGAAATTGCTCTGTCTGCTTATTTGCCCGCTAGGTGTGAATCGAGGAGCTGGAGCAAGAGCTGGAGACTGAGAGGGCGATGAGCCAAGGTGAGTGAAACACGCCCACCCTTCCTGGAGTCAAAAGACCCAGGGAAGCTACAGTCCAACCAGGTGCAGAAACTCCTTGGGAATCCAACAGAGAGGAGGACACGGTTCCAGCTGGAAGGGCCTTGTTAGTTTCTTGAGTGCCTCCTGTGCGCCCGGCACATGCTACATGTGCACACTGACGAAGACAAAAGACGCACAGATGCTCTGTGCTGCGGTCCAAGCGGAGGCGGCAGCCTGAAGACCGAATTCAACCGGAAGAGGTGGGGAGGAGGTTCCAGGCAAAGGGGATCAGATAACACCTGCGTGTGCAGGTAGAGGTGTGGAGGGGAGAGCCAGGAGTGCAGGGAGGCTTGTGGGGAGGGATCCTGCAGGGAGATGAACCCAAACACACACACTCCAGCTTCAGCCTGGTGGGACTGGGGGGCAGGATGGGCACTAAGGCCCCCCAGACAGCTCCTTTTGCTGAGGGTGGGGGCAGGGGGCAGAGGACAGACCCCCTGCAAGTGCAGGCCCCTGGCCTCACAGGTGCCACTGGGTCATCCCAGTCTTTACTAGAGGAAACAGGGGCTCTTGGACAGTCAGGGTCAGCGTCGTTCATCTCCCCCGGGTGGAGAAACAACACAGCAACCTGTCCCGAGACCTGGAAGGCTTAAGTGACAGGCTGGAAGAGGCTGGGGGAGCCACCTCTGCTCAGGTACCATCCTCGGGGGCCCCAGGACCCCCGTTCCCGCCTGCCTACTGGACGATGAGCAAGGGGAGAAAGACTGGTTAGTTCTTGCTGAATTCCCGGGGCTACCTAGAGGAGAAACCAATTGATAGAGAACAGGCAAGAGGGGGCTGGTTCCATCCACTTTGCTCTGGGCTGCCCAGTTCAGTGGGTACAAGCAGAGCTGAGACTGAACGCCTCAGGGGGGCCGGTGCCGGCCCGCCCATGAGCCCTGCCTCTGCTCCACCCCGGACTGAGCAGAACTGCAAGCGGGAGGCCGAGCTGCTGCAGCTGTGGTGGGAGCCGGAGGTGGCGGTCCTGCAGAGTGCCGCGGCAGCCTCCAGAATGCACAGGAAGCACACGGACTCCGTGGCCGAGCTAATCGAGCACGTGGAGAAGCTGCAGAGGGTGCTGTCCAAGCTGGAGAAGGACAAGCAGGGCATGAAGGCCGAGATCAACGCCAGTGTGGAGACCACGGAGAAGTCCAAGGTGAGGGGGATCCCCGCAGAGCCTTCTCAAATAATATCCCCCGAGCCCCCTGACAGGTCTGAGGCACAATCTAGATGCTGTGAAGGGAACCGAGACAGACCCATCACAGACCCCACACGCTGGGGATGTAACCTTGGCCAACACCCAACCGTGCCTCGGCTTCCCCATCCATAAAACGGGGATAAAGATAATCCCCATCTCACAATGCTCGTTAGGGCTACAACAGTCCCTGGCACATAAGGAAAAGCTCCGCAAATGTGAGCTACTAGGATCACCATGACATTAGGACGACTGTATCCTCGAGGAGCTGGAGACATAGGAGAGACAAGTGCAGTCACAGCCACGCTGAAAAAGCGATGCATGGCAGGAAAGAAAATGAAGTCAGTCACTCAACATGCATTTATCCAGTGCCTGCCACAGGAAGCGTCTTCGTGTGACGTAAGGGAAGTGAGGGACTCCAGGGCAGTGGGGGGCTCCAGAGGCGAGCAGGGAAGAGGCTGCGGGGGCCCAGGTCCCAGCTGCAGACCCTCCCGAGGCACCACCGCAGCGCCTGTCTTACCTGAGACTCCTGCTCTGATGCGGCCTTTTCTTACTGGGTTAGGTCAGCCAGGGCCCACAAGTGAGAGGCTGTGTGCCAACCCAAAGGTTCTGGGTTTATGTTGATAGAAAACTGTGAGCTGCTGAGATGAGGGTGTTCTAAAAAGGATAAGGCAGGTGGCCTGGGAGGCTGCAAGAGGGCAGCCCAGCTGGGAAGCAGAGTGGGCCTGGCCTGGGACTGCTCACTCCCCCACTGGGTCCATTCTTGCTGAGCAGATGAATGCTGAGGCCCACATCTGAAAGCTGGAGGACAACCTGGCAGAGGCTGACGCGAAGGTGGCCGAGCTGGAGCGGAACCAGGTGGAAACCAACGCCATCAGGAGCCGCCTCCAGGGTGCACTCGCCCCTCCCCACAGCTTCCTGAGGACGGAATGGGGATCCTCAAGGAACCTGAAAGAGGACTTGGGTCCCCTCCCGGAGCCTCCCTGACCTTGGAAAACCCACAGCCCCTGTGATAAGACAAGGAGATTTTCTTCTACCCGCTGAGTGATTAATCAAAGTAACATCTTTACAGCGTAAAACAGGGAACACTACCCAAAACATTTTCTTGTCGGTTCTCTCCATCTCTCTGTGAGATCAGCGGGAGGAGCAGTACTACTTACATAACACAATTTTCAAGCATTTTAAAACATGATCTGCCTACAAACATAAAGCAAACATGGGTCACTAATGAGGGAACCAGAAAGATGTTAGAGCCACCTTTGAAAAGCATCCGAGAGGCCAAGGTTTACACAGCCAGTCAGGAAAGGAACGCTTCAGTAACTCTGGCAAGTTAGGTACAAAACTTGTTCCTGTCCAACAGGGCAATAATACTGCAACCTCTGGGTTTGATTTGGGGTTTTTTCTACCCGAAGAAATTCTTTACATCTCTAGGTCAAAAACGATTTGCGACTCATCCATATGCAAGTTAACGTATAACTTCGCAGAGTCTGGGCCCTAGACAGGGGTCAACAGTTTGGTCAAGCAAAAGTGTAGTTCCCTGGAGAGGTTCACACTCCTTAGGCGTGCCAGTGAAACATGGCTCTGGAGCAGACACCAGAGAACCTGAGGCATCATTTGGCCTTACTGCCCGCATCCTCAATACTTTTTAAAATCAATTTCCCCACTGGATGGATAAGAAGAGTGGAACAGTGAGGTTGGGGTGACTTGGTCACAAAACTGAAGACAAATAGGGCAGAGCTGGAAACCCTCGCTGGTCCTCAGGCACACGCACCTCCTCCTGGCCTCTGGCTCGGAAATCAGTCCTCAGATGACAGGAGTGTGGGTTCAGGGGCTGAGACGAATGGATTTTTCAACGTAAACATTCTTGACCTCACTGTTGTCTCCAAACTTCTTTGTGTATCCCCTGCCAGGGCCTGGGAGCCTCATTATCTGAAGCCACTTATCCCATGCACATCACCTGGACGGTGGGGACCCTTGGGCACTTGCGCCCCTCCTGGGCCCACTTAATTTGGGCGGCTGAGGTGGGGGTCACCATGCTCCCCATCCCAGCTCTGCTGGCCAAGCTGCCGTATTGATGGGTTCTTTGAGAGCCAGGCTTAGGATCTGGCTCCACATTTCTGCTCCCTTCTCGCCCACTGAAAACGGTGAGCTGACCTGGGAATATGAAGAATCCCAGAGCTGGCTCAACCAGATCCTGCGGATAAAGACATCCCTGACGTCGCAGGTGGACGATTACAAGTGGTAGCTGGATGAAGAGTCCGAGGTTGGCTTAGCGGTGAGGTCGGGGGTGACAGTGCCGCCTCCTTGAAGAAAGTCGTGTGTTATGAAGATGCAGAAGGAACGTGAAAATTATCTGATTCCACAGCGAGTAAAAAAGTTAACTACAAAGCTAGAGCATACGTGCAGGTGCACGAGGCTAATTAAATGAAAGAAATTATGTATCCTTGTGGATGGCAATGGGGAGAAATCAAGGAAAATTAAACCTCGGTTGTTTGGGTTGTAGACTCCTATGTCTTTTCGCCTCTTGCTGCACTGTTGATCAACATCAGATGTCTTTAAGTCCCGGCCCCAGGTGCCACAGAGACCAGGGGGGCTCTGACAGGCCGGTGGCCCCCATAGGCCCGCAGCGCGGCCGTGGTGAGTCTCGCCAACACCAAGCGTGCCCCGGACCTGCTGAAGGAGCAGCTGGAGGAGCAGCAGGGCGGCAAGTTCCCGGCCCCTCAGGACCTGGAGGTTTGGCTCTGCCGCCATTCACTGCCGGTTCTGGGCCCACCACGCTGACTCCCTCAGCACCCGGGCACCCGCCACCCTTCCCAAAAGCCTCGCTAAAGGTCAGGCTGACAGGAAATACGGTTCTAACTAAAACGACGCTGTGGCTCCACTGGGAAGATAAGGGGATGGGAAATGAGGGACAGGGCCCAGAGAAAGTGCCAAAGTCACAGCTTCCACAGCAGGGCACCAAGAGCTAATGCCTAAAACCACACAGAGCACATTTCATTTAGAAACATGGACGTCAAAGCCCAAAACCTTCAAAGCGCTGAAGGTGGGTGTCCGTGGTGACCTGGAGCGTGCCCCTGACCCAGGACTGCTGTGTCTCCTAACGAGCCTTACAGAATGACTGGACTCTTAGGATGTCTGGGTACAAGCAAAAACAATGCACATTTAACCAGAACGAGCCAGATTCATGCCCCACATTCCACAGTGCCTCGGTCACAGGAGGAGCAGGCCAACCAGACGCTGGCCCGCTACAGAAGACAGTGCACGAGCTGGGTGATGCCGAGGAGTGGGCGGGCACGGCGGAGACTGCCCTCAGCAAGCTGCGCTCCAGACACCACACAGTGGACAAGGGCATCACCTCCGTGGGGACCACCCAGGTGCCCGAGACGGGCTCCTCCAAGACGCCGTCTGAGGAGTGAGGGGCCACGGCCCCAGCACACGGCTGGTAGGTGTGGACTCCACGCTCCAAGTTCACCTGCTCTACTTTGCTCTTTCCGACTTCTCTTGGATTCAGGATAAGTCTTTTCTTACTGTTTGCTTAGGGAGGGAATAAAAAAATAGGACGCAGGATCTTTTTCTTAATTCTCTGACTCTTAAAGAATGGCTCTCTGAGGAAGTTAAGGAAACCAGTGGCTTGCCTCTGGATGAGTCCTACAATTAACGTGTAACCTCCTTTCAGGGCAAAAACCTCAACGGGGTCCCTTCTGTTGAGCTCCCCCTCTTGGCGGGGGTTACTGCTGAGGCTCCCTGCACCACCCAGACTCGGGAGGCGCTGCAGCCCCTTCTACCTAGTCTTAGCTTCCAGGATCAGGCACCATGTGAAGCAGACCCCCCGCACTGGCTTGGTGACTGACTGGCTATGCCTGGGCGCTGCTGGCCCTGGTCCAGCTGCCCTGTCTTCATGTCACCGCCCTGTGTCACCATGGCACAGTCCTGCCAAGAGCACCCCAAGGGGATGAGGTGGAGCCCCTAGGGTCTGCTCTCTGTGTCGGGGTCAAATCTCAGTCTCTAATCCCATATCCCAGGCCTATCCAGGCATGCCAGGCCCAAAGAAGGGGTCCCTAAAGCCTTACAACCTAGAAGAGGATGAACCAGGCATGACCCGCTGATGCCCATTACAAGGAAGAAAAAGCAGCCCATGCACCTGGGGGCACTGTCTTTCTAGAAAGAAGGGGACAAAGATGTTAGAGCTCCCAGCTCTGGCCCACAAGGATCTTCTCACCCTCTCTCTCTTTTTCCTTCCAGGGTGATACATATCTCAACAGCAGACCATTGAGAGGAAAAAATATATGAAAAATGGAAAACTGGGTCTATTCTGAGAATACTATGCAAAGGAAAGTGCAAGCCAGAAAGAGGTGCAGAAGAAGAAAGATAGCTGTGGGGGCGAGAGGCTTGGGGATGTAAATTCCTGGCCATTAGAGGCAATAAAATTAGCATGGCTTCTCTGAGGGACGCATCAAGCACAAGCACTTGGATAACAGTAACTGTGGGTCTGATTTAGCTGAGATCCTGCATGTTCATGTCAAGGATGGAATGTGTAATGTCTCTGGGACCTGGCTGTTCTCTAGAAGTAATTTCTCATGTGGACAATTTTAATACCTTGTCCCCATGAATCTTAAATACAAGAAACATGAAAAATAGGCTGACTGGAGATTGTTTTTACATGAAGAATTTTTTTCCTGAGACTTCGAAATCCAAAGGCAGTTTTTACAGTCTACCAGGGTCCTGTGGTGTCCCTGTGGTGTCCCCGTGTCCTCATTCACAGGCCTGTGTATCAGAGATATGAAGACAAAGAGAGCTGATAGTTACAGGATGCCCTGAAGGGATGGTAAGATCCGTCCAGGCTAACGACCCAAAGGCCCCCCCACATATACACCCTGCCTCAGTGTCTCCCCTGATGCTCAGACACAGGCAGGTGAGCTCTGTGAGGGCAGATGGTTTTGTGTATTGTATTTCACTGCTGTTAATCAGCAATGAGAGAGTGCCAGACCTGAAGGGACAACAGAGTGGAGTGAATGCCTCCCAAAGAAATGCAGTGCTTTCTGACATTGCACAGAGCACTTCCTAAAATCAGGCTAGGGACTTCCCTGATGGGCCAGGGGTTAAGAATCTGCCTTGCATTGCAGGGGATGTGGGTTCAGTTCCTGGACGGGGAACCAAGATCCCGCTGTGCTGCAACGACTGAGCCTGTGGGATGACCTGAGGCAGCCAAATAAATAAATAAATGAACATCTTTCGAAAAATAAAATCAGATCCGTGCCCACTGGTGGAATCCACTTGCCAACCCTGGTGTTGATAACCCAGGACCCTGCAGAACCACCTGAATGGAAGAGAGGTCTCAGGGTCTCTTCAAGTCACTCTTCTGTTCCTGGGTCCTTCAGTCTCCCCAAGTGTGACCAGATTCCTTTTGTCATCTTCTGGCACTTCTCAACCCCATTCCTCTCCTTACTGTCGTAGTCTTTGGGGTGCAGGGGCAGAGCCCTCAGAAAGACCCCCACCCCAGCCCTCTGGAGATGGGGGCTTCCGTTTGAATCTCACCACCTGACCTCTCTCCAATGCATTGGCAGACAGAAGTCATTGTTCAGGCTGGTAGAGGAAGGGATACTAATATTCCGTTGGTGGTGCCCACATCATGCTTGTGATGTTTCTGACCTTGGCACTCTAGACAGCTCTGGAGGGAACCCGGTTTGGGTCCATGGGTGCAAATACACCAATGTGAAAACACTGCCCTCTGGTGGTGGGGTCTCCAAATGCTGTGCATGACTAACTGGGGAGACACCAAATCACACAATGTAAGAATTATTATATATTAGAATTTTAGGAACTTCCTTGGTAATCCAGTGGCTCAGACTCCATGCTCCCAGTGCAGGGGGTCCGGGTTTGATCCCTGGTCAGGGAACTAGAGCTCACACGCCGCAACTAAGCTTCCACAGGACACAACTAAAATTCCTACATGCCGCAACTGAAGATCCTGCGTGCTGGTGCCGCAACTAAGACCCAGCACAGCCAAATAAGGAAATAAAGAAATATTGGGGGAGGAGGGATTTTAGAACTGGAAGGGACATTTAGAGGGTGCTGAGTCCAGCTTTTGGCCAGTTTGGGATTCCCTTCCAAAGCATCCCTGAAAAGTAAATGGTAATCCAACTTGAACTCTTCCAGTGGAAAAAGGCAGTCCATTGCCGTTCTGGCTGACAATCATGGTTCAAAAGTCCCACTCAGTACTGAATCATAGTATGTCTCCCCTATTTTGATCATATTTCGATCTAGTCTTCACCTCTGTAATTACACAAAATAAGCCTAATTCTTATGCTTTGAAGTCAGATGGATATGGTTTCCACTTTCCCACTAGTATGACCTTGGGCAACTTAACCTATCTTACCTCCTGCTTTCTTGACTATTAAATGAGGAATAATAACAGCATCTGCCTCACAGGAATGTGAAGTTTAAACAAGATAACTTGGCAGAGCGCCCATTACGCTAACACTGAGGCATTTGCCAAGTTCCTTCTAGCATTCCATATGACTTCCCCACTTGACCTTCCCAGGGAGGCTCTCCCAGGCTGTTAGTCTGGTAGCTGACGGCAGCAAGCCTCTTGCTGGAGAGATGCAAGGGGCATCCATGAAGTGTTAGACCTGGAGGACAGTCCACATGTGGAGAATTCTCCACATGTGGAAAATTCCACAGCAGCTCCTCACTCTGCTGGGGAGAATGGGGGCCCAGACAGAGACAGGCTCAGTGACTTGCCCAAGACCATTCAGTTAAAGCAGAGATAGAAATAATTCTCTGTGGTGGGAGATGAGGTGAAGTTTCTGACCCAGTATTTATTTAAAAAAAAAAACCAAAAAACAGAACAGACTTCAGTTAGCCACATATGCTGTTTTTGCCTGAAAGTGTTAGTCTCTCAGTCGTGTCCAACTCCTTGGGACCCCATGGACTGTGGGCCACCAGGCCCCTCTGTCCATGGGGATTCTCCAGGCAAATACTGGAGTGGGTTTCCATGTCCTCCTCCAGGGGATCTTCCCAACCCAGGGATCAAACCGGGGTCTCCTGCACTGCAGGCAGATTCTTTACCAGCTGAGCCACCAGGGAAGCCCACTGTTTTTGCCTAAGGACATGTAATTTCAGAATGACTTAAAGATCTAAGAGGGTATAATCTATGCAGTCTTGCAAAATAATATTAATTGGTATCTATGATGACTGAAATCAGGGCATTGGCACCATGTTCTGTAGAGTAAGTGGAGCAAAGATTTATTTAGATGGTTTTGCTAAATGTTTTGGGATCATTTTCAAGACTGCTAAATTTTTTATCACTGGCTATATTAAATATATATGTTTTATCTTCTATACTCTTGAAGCTCTGGCACCTGGGGGCTCCCTGGCTGAGGAGACGCTGCCTCTCCCAGGGCTGCCGATTCTGAGGAAGAGCAAATGGCTCTCATACACAGGCTCACCAATCCAGTGCCCATACTCGGAACCACCTCCTCTACCCTGTTCTTGTACCTTGGGAGGCAATACTTCCCTCCGTAATCATCCCAGGACCAGGACCAGACAACGAGGGACTGCCAGAGCCCACTGAAATTACTCCACCAGCCAATCCTAACCCTGCTCACCCAGCCGCCCCCTTTCCTTCCTGTGGGAGCCATAATGAAAGCTCGTGGCCTGCTGTCCCCTTGCGCCTCTGGCTCCTGACCAGCCCGGGGGCTTCCCCACAAGGCCCTGTGTGGCATGTCAGGCCGTACCTCCTGCTTCCAGGGACAGGTCTTTGAGTGAATAAACTTCCTCCTTCGTGGCAATCATTTCCACATCTGTGTATCTTCCCATACTTGATTAAAGCAAATCCCAGGGACATTTGAAGGTACATACACCAATTAGCTTCCTCTTCCTTCTTTCACATGTGAACCAATCCTGGGTCCTTGAAGGGAACCCAGCAGGTTCTGGGTCAACCCCCAGGGAGAGCACAACTTTGGATGTTTCCAGAAATCACAAAGACGGCTGCCCTTCCACCCACACGCTACCAGGAACTGAGGTTGGAGATCTGTTGTGAAAAGGCCAACCTTGAGGTATGGTAAATCCACAAGACCGGAAGGGAACTTGCTGGCTATTATAAGGGATTGTTCTCTCCTCTGAACCCTGAAATTTGGCTTAGGCTAATGAAAAATGTATCCTGAGGTTTTGGAGCAGTGATCCCATAATATGTTTTTTCTACAGACATTTTTTAAAAACCAACTTTCAGGAGCTTCCCTGGTATTTGGTATCCCAAATGTGCCAGAGCAACTAAGCCCATGTGCCACAACTACTGAGCCTGTGCTCTCCAGCCTGGGAGCCACAACTGCCGAAGCCCTCATGCCTAGAGCCCCTACTCTGCAACGAGAGAAGCCACTGCAATAAGCCCATGCACCGCAACGAGAGAGCAGTCTCTGCTCACCACAACTGGAGAAAAAGCCCGAGCAGCAATGATCCAGCACAGCCAAAAACAAAATAAATACAACTTTAAAAAAAGATATCACTAAAAACCTTCTAAACACCTATAAAACAATTCTTCAAACATTTCCACATAATATAAACATTTTAAACACTAATTATGTAATTTTTAACGCTTAACGACCTCCATGGTGATTACATTTGTTGAGCAGTACATGACATGCACTATATTTGATGAGAATTAAATACTATCTTTAATAGACAGGGACCATAAAGCAAATAAACAATGTAAATGTGTAAAAGACATATCATTAATGCAATAGGATTCAGCAAAATAAATATGACAAATCAGGTAATTTTTTTTAATGGTTACTGGGACCTCCTTGATGGTCCAGTGGTTAAAACTCTGCACTTTCACTGGCAGAGGAAACTAAGATCTCCCCATGCCACATGGGGTGCCAAAATTTTTTTTAAAAAATGAATCCAAGAGAAGACCTGAAAACTATTATCCTTATTTGATGGAAACTTATAGAAGTTGACTGACTTGCCCAAAGTTACATACGTACTGCAGCTGGTAAACTGCAGAGTTAGAGTTTGAACCCAGTTCTATTTATCTCCAAAGTTAATGAACTCTTTTAAGCTATCATACTATCTTTTAAAAAAAATAATAGATTGCATAAAAAACATTTTAAAAATGTGTTAGAAACAAAATGTGTAAGAAGTGGCCCTTCAGGAGATTTACAGGCTGGTGACCACAGATTTCACTTTTCAAATGAGGAAAATGATACTTTGAATTCATAAGTATGCTTATATGCTTGCTCTTGTTAAGTATGGTATTTGTGATAGCATGCTAGTTACATACATCTGAGACTCTCTTACATCCCTGCTACTGCTACTGCTAAGTCACTTCAGTCGTGTCCGACTCTGTGCGACCCCATCCCTGGGATTCTCCAGGCAAGAACACTGGAGTGGGTTGCCATTTCCTTCTCTAATGCATAAAAGTGAAATGTGAAAGTGAAGTTGCTTACATCCCGAGACACCCCATAAACTGGTCCCATCCCTGTGCTACGGAAATGAACTGGATGATCAGTCTTTGAGCCACTTTGCTGAACACCTGAAACTAACACAACATTGTAAATCAGCTATGCATTAGTTGCTCGGTTGTGTCCGACTCTCTGTGACACCATGGACTGTAGCTGGCTTCTCTGTCCATGGGATTCTCCAGGCAAGAATTCTGGAGTGGGTGGCCATGCTCTCCTCCAGGGGATCTTCCCGACCCAGGGACTGAATCTGGGTCTCCTACATTGTAGGCAGACTCTACAGTTTGAGCCACCGAGGAAGCCATCTGAGACTATCTTACCTCCCTAGACACCCCATAAACTGGCCCCACCCCTTCGTTATAGAAATGGACTGGATGATCAGCCTAGAGCGGAAAAATCTGCACGCATTTTTCAATCTCTCTGTACTGAATTGTATAAGACCTTTTCTACAGGAAATTTTCCCTCCTTAGGACCAAACCCAGCACTTGGGACAATATCTAAATCATAAGGATTATTAACACAGAGTATTCATTCATAGTTTTGTCCTTTTGTTAACTTTTTTTTTATTTTAACTTTTTGGCCACATCACATGGCATGTGGGATCTTAGTTCCAGGACCAAGGATGAAACGCAGGCCTCCTGCAGTGGAATCACAGAGTCTTAACCACTGGGCCACCAGAGAAGTCCCTGTTAACTTGTAACTTTCATAGGCATTGATTCAATAATATTTTCAAGTCTTGTGGGGAATAGGTGGCTAGCATTAACCCATGCAAGAGACAGAAGTGGAGGCAGATTGGCAGTAAGTGCTCACTGTCATTCACCTGGTGGCACAAGCAAGAACCAATCTTCTTACTCTCCAAATCCACATTCCAGATACTGTATCAAAGGTTTCCTGAACAGAAGGAAATTCTTAGATCTTTGCAAACACATAATCTTTCCAACGTATGATTGGTTATATTCTTGATGTTCCTATCTGTACAAACCCCCTCTCCCATTCACAATCGGGAGTGACCAATTGAAATCTCAAGACTGTTTCCTTTATTCATCGTTTCATTCAACAGACATTAACTAGGCACTTCCAGGTTCCAGGTACTATGCATTTCCTTCTACTTAAGACATCTGTGAACTGGTTTCACCCTAGTCTCTAAGTTCCTTGAGGACAGTGGAACTTCATCCAACTCTTCTGTACACTGCACAAAATGCCCGACAATACTTGGCACTTGGTGAATACTCATTGTTTGATGACTTGAAGCTCCACCAAAACTCCAATCTAGTCCTATTCCAATTCCAACTGAGGAGGATGGGACAAGATGGCAGAGTAATAGGACCTTGAGTTCACTGCCTCTAAAGAGCTCATCAAAATTACAACTAATTGCTAAACAGCCATTGATAAAGAAGACTGGAACCTACCAAAAAAGAGACCCTACATCCAGACATGAAGAAGAAAGCACAATGAGACAGGAGGGGCGCGCTCTTGATAAAATCAATTCCAAATGAATCAATAATGCAAATAAAATCATCCATAGCAGTGTCCAACCGCTCCCTTCCTCCTGTTTCCCATTTCTAAGTACCAACTTCCCTGGAACTGATTTTTTTAAAGGGCACAGTCCTCACATTGGATACTAGATCAGGGTCATCACAGTAGTCTAAAAAAACACACTAAGAATAATTTGATTTCCTTGTAATTCCAAGGTTCTTACAGCAGACCATGATGGGATTAGGGGGCGATGTTCTGGACTAGGAATCATGTCAGCATTGCCACTGACTTCCATTAAAATCTTCCTGGAGTCTCAAAAACCTCTGGTCCTGTTTCCTCAGTTATATAACATGATGGTTTCACTTAGGAGCCTCTGAGGAACTAAGAGTCTACTATCCAGAATGGCTCATAAAATATGAAAGAAAATGCATCGAATGGTAAGCTTTGTTTAGGCTGAAATGCAAAATATTAACTCAAAAGATAGAATCAGCGATTAACATTAAAATGTCTCATTGTTACTCTTCTGGGGCTAAATTATTTCTTACATTGTCATTTATCATAGTCTGGTATTATTGATTTGTATGTGTCACCCTCATTTACCCAGACTATAAACCCCTTCAAAGAAGGAACTGTCCTCTGTAAAGAGGTGGGATCTAAGTAAAACACTGTTGGTATTTTGACTCTGGGTAACAACTCTACATATTTCCGGATTCGCTCATCTGACTTGGAGACATAGGAGGAATCCTCGCTTCCACGGGCGGTCCTTCCTCTGTCAGGATGCTGTCTCCAGGAGGGAGTAATTAACTGAAAATGATCTTTCCACTCTCAAAGTGTCCTATTATGCCCAAGACCAAAGACTTTGCAGACAAGGGACCAAAGACAACCAAGTATTCCAGGGCATTTAGCGCTGCATCAACAGCCCCAGAGAAGTCAGTATGTGTGCCTGTGAAGTCGGGAATCTGACAAGTTCTCTGTGGTGAACATCACCTGACAAGTCTCCGGGTCAATCACCCCGGGGCCAGGAGAGCTGGTCCATAATTTCTCTGAGTTCAGGGGCAGCCAGTCTGGTGGAAAGAGGGGTTCAGGTCACTGTCTTCCTGTATTGGGGGGCGGCTGAACTCCCTCAACTCCTCGGTCCTGTGGCGCCACCTCGGGAGCAGGGAACGATTCTGACCCAAGAAGGGTAGAGAACGTTCCTTGGAGAGATCTCCACAAAGGGAAGGCGGGCTCTGAAGAGGCCTCCTCACAGTGGGAGGAAAAAACAGTAGGGATTTGTCGGTCCGTTTGGCCCCAAAGGTCCCAATTCTCAGGAATTCATTCCGTAGCCAAAGCACTTGTGAAAGCGCCAAGGCTCCACACTTCGGTCCTCAAGTCTCAAGACATTTTGCGAGGAAAGCACTAAGAGGTCCACGATGCTCCTTCACCAGCTCCCAGCGCTCTCCAGACGCCGACTCCTAAAGAGCCGGCCGACCCTTCCCGCCGCGCGCGCGCCCAACGGCGCGCGTGCGCTGACAGCACGCCCCGCCCCGCCGCGCAGGCGCCGTGGCCACTTCCGGGATCTGTCAGCCGCTCCCTCTGGGCCTCGGTCCTCCGCCCGCGCCCGCCGGAGCCTGTTCGCGTCGACTGACCAGAGTCCGCGAATTCAACGCTCCGAGCCCGTCCGGACGGCCCCGATCCCAGGTAAGGGGCAGCAGGGGCGAGCTTCGCGCCCTGTTGGCCTCCCCTGGCCCGGCCTCGCTCCCGATCTGAACCTGCGGGGGCAGCAAGGCGGGGGCTTAGGCCGCGGGGACCGGAGGCGGAGGGGAGGGGCGGGCCGGGGAGGGGGCGGGGAGGCGGTGTTCTCTGAGGGGCCTGCCGAGCCCTGGGGTCCCCACACGCCCAGATCCCTCTCTCAACGATTTTCAAGTTCCGATCCTCCTCCAGTGCCAGAATGAAAGACTGCTTCTCCTGCGCTTCCATTGTGGGCATTTATTACAGGCGCTAAAATTGTAGTGAATGGGATCACCACCCCCACCCCCGATCGCGCCTCGCGAGGCACAGTTCATTCCTTTCTTCAGCGTCTAGAATAGGGTCCCTTGAGCGCAGTAAGCGCCCATGGGATGTCTGTTCCTGTCTAGGGCAGCCCTGCATATATTCTTCAGCTATAGGGGGAAGCTTTCCGAACCTGAGAAGCCGCCTCTCCTGAGTTCTTTAAGAATCTCCCCGCTTGAGTGCCGCCTTCCTCTAAGTCAGGGTCGACCCCTGCGCTCCTACTCCATGCAACCTTTTTTTTTTTAGCGCCTGTATCATTCTAATCCTCCAGTCAGACTGCCCAGCCTCCCTCCCATCCTGGCACCACCACTGCTTGGATGACCCTAGGAAGATTGCTCGTCTGAATCCCCGTTTTCTCATCTACAGTACTAAGATCCTTGAGGGGTTTCTGAGGCTCCAGTGAGCTTGTTGGCATAAATTGCTTAGGATAGTCCCTGTCCCTTGGTATGTGCTCAATTAAGTTTTATTCGTGCTTCTTACATTCTCTGTGTATGTGTCTTCCCTTCCTCTTCTACCCTTCTCCCCCTAGATTTGTGGCCCAGAGAAGTGTCAGATTTATTTATGTTTCTGGCCCCAACCCGGAATTGCTCCACTGCTGGGAATATGGTAGGCCCTTAATACATTGTAGTTTAGAATCTTTGATTATAAAGCCATCTGTTTTCATACTGGGGCTTTGGAACCAGAAGGCAGTGCTAACCTACTTTTATCTATTTCAACTCCTTACCGAAATTACCTAAATTATCCTAGTTCTGCCCTCTTTCTTTAATCGGTTTTTAAATCTAACCTTTTAGTATCCAGTAGACCCTGGGTGTTTCAGGTATCTTTAAAAAAAAAAGAAAGGGTATCATTCAGGAGGATATTTTTGCCATGTGAGGGAGTAGGTGTAAGTGGCTGCTTCTAATTCAAAGTATTCGGGGACCTTCCAAGGTTAATTCATCTGCTTATCACAGTTAAAGGAGGGGATCGTCTTGGAAAAATAAATCTGCTAGGAGGGAGAGGATCAGTAATTCCATCTAGTTAACTAATCCTATGCTGAAACAGGTTCTGCTTAATGAGGTTTAGTCTGCTGGTGAGGCTGGAATTGGAACCTGTCTCTGAACACTGTGGAGGGTGTGGTGACCTTGTCAGAGCACCTAGTATTGCTGGGTTGGGTGATGAGAGCAATTAGAAACTGGATGAATCACAGTCTCGAACACTGACCCTAAGTAGAAAACTGACATCCCCACTGTACAATTACTTTAAAGCTCCAGGGCCAGGAATGTAAAGCCTGTGTAAGTGTTTCCAATTCAGAGGGTACTCCTGGGGTGTACTTCTGGGGCTGGTTCAAAAACCTTGGGTCAGAGGGAGAAAGGGAACTCATTTATTGAGCATCTCTTTTGGGGTAGGCTTTGAACCACATACGTTCATGTGTTCTCTCATTTAATCCTCCTACCACGGGCCTTTGCGATGTCAGTTCTGTGTCCATTTCACAGATGAAGAAAAATTAGTTTTGGAGATAGTGAGTGACCTGCCCAGGGTTTCCTGGCTAGTGTGTGTCAAAGCCAGGATTCAAACCCAGGTCCCCTTGGCTCCACTGCCCATGGCTAACCAAACATCAGGATGACTCAAGTGATAGGTAGAGAAAGGAATTGAGGGATGGAGGGGTCCCCTGGAGTCATATCGTGCTACAAAGAAGTCATTCTCTCCCCCTCCATGCTGGCCATTAAAAGGTCATCAGTAGAAGTTTGTTAATGTCATCACCTTTTTTGTCTGTCCCTTTTTCTTCTCTCTGTCCTAAGACAAGCTTTCCAGATTTCACTGAAGTAGAAATCACAGTTTAGAAATGATAATTATCACCCTAGGACAGAAGGTTTCTTTTTCTTGATGAAAAAAAACACCCAAGCTGTCATTATTCTACTTTCACTGAGTTTCATGAACACATGCTGTGTTCACTGGTGGTGTCTTAAATGAATTGGACGAACATGAATGTTGTCTTGGTCTACAGACTTAAAATAGCCACATGATTATAGAAGTACAGGTCCTGAGTGTAGGTCCAAATATGGAACCTGAATGATATAACAAAATTAGAAGCGCAATTTTAGAAGTTAATTATGCCATTGAGTAAATGTTTACCTCTTTTGAAGGCTTTGCTCCATTGCTTATAACCCTGAGTTTTAGAATGAGAAAGCCTTTTTCTGCACCTTTTCTAAGCACACGAAATTTGTGCTTTTATTGCATGTAGAGCTTTTACATTAAATTATTAATTTGCAGGTCATTATTTTTTTCAGTTTACAAATGAGCCTACAAAATGTGGCATATAAACTAAATTGCTTTTAGTTAAGGATATATTTGTTGCATATCTTTATATAATGTTATTTTGAGTAACTGAGTAAAGCCTTTTGTAATGGGTAAGCATCAGAGAAAAAGAATCAATCACTGAGCATCTGGAAATTTATTTTTCAGAAGAAATTTAGGCAGTCTCACTTGAATTCATTAAAAAAATTTAATTTTCAGTTAGAGACTTCAAATGTGAGTTGCAACTTGCAGAACATGTACAAGTGAAAAAAAATGAATGATCTTGAACTTCCCTGGTGGTCCAGTGGTTAAGAATCTGCCTGCCAATGCAGGAGACATGGGTTTGATCCCTGGTCCAGGGAGATTCCACATGCCAGGGAGCCGCTAAGCCCATGCACAACTACTAAGCCTGCTTGCCACAGCTTCTGAAGCCTGTGCTCTGCAATGACCCGCGCTCCTCATCTAGAGAAAGCCCTCCTGCAGCAGGGACGACCCCACACAGCCATAAATAAATAAGTAAAATTTTTTTGATTAATGTCCTAAATATTGTCATTCTTAGAACAGAATGGAAAACACTGACATTTCTTAGCCAGTTCAAGATACCAGATATTTTGTTTAAGGGTATGTTTATCTCTTTTTGACCCTTGGATTCCTTTACAACAATTAGCAGAGGCATTTCCTTTGCTTTCCACTGAGATTGATTTCTGCTTTGTCTGCTGAATTCTTATTGTTCACCTCATAACCTTCTGGTGGCCTTCCCATTCATTTCCTGCTTGCATCAGGATTCCTATCTCACATTTCTGTCTCCACCCTAAGTTGACTTGACTTGTACTTAAGCATAGAAACTTCAGTGCTGTGAGAATGCCTCGTAGAAATGATTTTAAGGGGATGGTGTGTGTTGGGGGGGTGGGTGTTGGCGCCTGAGTGCTTTGAAAAAAATTTCTCCTATTTCAGGTAAAGGTTGCTTCATCAGTCTATCTAGATTTGGATGCCTGTAAAGTAGAGAATTTGATACCATTTTTGATTTAATGACGTTTCACAAGCTCTGCTTTTCATTTAGTTACAATAACAAGTTTAGAGGATAAATAACAAGCCTGCCTAATCTTCACCAGTTGTTAACATGTTGCCACATTTGCTCTTATACATCTACTTTGTTGTCCTGAAGGAGTGAAAATAAGTTACAGAGGACTTCATCCTTAAAGACTTCATCTCACCGCCTAAGAGTCAGAATATTCCCCTACCTGTGGCCAACCATTATCATTGTTGGGCTTCCCAGGTGGCGCAGTGGTGAAGAATCTGCCTGCCAATGCAGGAGACTCGGATTCCATCCCTGGGTCAGGAAGTTCCCCTGAAAATGGGAATGGCTACCCTCTCCAGTATTCTTGCTTCAAGAATCCCATGGACAGAGGAGCCTGGCGAGCTACCGTCCATGGGGTCTCAAAGGGTTGGACATGACTGAGCGACTAACACACACATTATCATAGTTAAGAAATGGAAAATAATTCCATGTTATGAGAAGGAAATGGCAGCCCACTCCAGTGTTCTTGCCTGGAGAATCCCAGGGACGGCGGAGCCTGGCCTATGGGGTCGCACAGAGTCGGACACGACTGAAGTGACTTAGCAGCAGCAGCAGTCTAAATTCAAATTTTTCCTATTTTACAAAATATATTTTTTATGACTATTTAAAAAATGTGGATTTACGGTCAAGTTTCATTTATCACATTTGGTTTTCATAGCTCTTTTAATTTAGAACAACTACCCCCAGGGACTTCCTTGGTGCTCCAGTGGTTAAGACTCCGAACTTTCAACAGAAGGAGCGGGAGTTCAGTCCCTGCTTGGGGAACTAAGATCCCACATAAAATACTAAGTGTACAATTCAATGATTTTTTTTTAAAAAAGAAAGAATTTTAAAACAGCCATCCCACCCCGACTCCCATCTTTTTTGAATAATCCAGGTCAGTTGTTTTATAGGATGGCACACATTTATGGTTTTAACTGTTTCCCCTTTATGTTATTTAACTAAGTCCACTCTCCTTTATTTCCTGTAAACTAGAAATTAGGTCTAGATCTTGAGTGGATTTAGCATAAATGTTTGGCATAAATATTTCATAGGTAGGTTCACCATCTCTTTTATTACCAGGCTTCTTCATGGTAGCCCTGTGTCCTGTTTTCATGGCACAATTATTAACAGTGCCCCTTTTTGCTCTCTTGGAAGTATTAAGTGGTCAAGTATTAAGTATTAAGTGGTCACTGCTTATAAGCGGTGTGCACTTCAAACTGTCTCCCTTTAGGAAGCCCATCAGATTATATTGTTCCACTACTTAATGATACTAAGATAGATTACTTGGCTAAGGTAGTAACTGACAGATTTTTTTTTTATTGTAAAGGCATGTTTTTTTTGTTTGCAGTCTTTAGAGACTGTGAATATCTCATACCCCAACAGTCCTTAACTCATGGTTTTAGAGTCCTTTGATGACCCTTGACAGAATAAATTCCACAGTGGTGGTTACAGTGCTAACTGTATTTAAATGATTAAGATTTGAAGTTGAGATTGATTCTCTTTTAATGAGGGAATAATGTTTTATTTCTCCCCCAAACATTTCAGGATCCCCAGACAACTTAAATACGGGTTGCCTACTCCTTTAAATGCTTTTTTCTATTTCTTTTTTTTTTTTCCTATTTCTTGTTGCAGCTTTCTATCCTTTGAAAACACTAAGAATAATGTCCCTGCATCAGTTTTTACTGGAGCCAATCACCTGTCATGCCTGGAACAGGGATCGTACCCGTAAGTATGCCATTGACTTTGCTCCTTTATTTCGGTATCATTAATTCTCTTAGATGTTGGCCTTTTTAAGAATCACATATTTCAGTGTCATATGTAAACGGGACATAGATTCAGAGAACTTGGTCAGTCAGCTGGGATTTTGATAAGGATTACTTTGAATCTGTAGCTTCACTATCTCTTGTAAAGCAATTCAGACTTGGTTTACTTTTTTTTTTTAATGAATTTATTTATTCAGCTGGGCATGTGGGATCTTTAGTTGCCACGTGTGGGATCTAGCTCCTCGATGAGGCATCGAGGCCGGGTGACCGGCCCTGAGAGCAGTCTTAGCCACGGGACCACCAGGGGAGCCCCGGTTTGCTCTTATTTTTGGGTAAATCTTTGGCACATAAACAGTATACTTCAGGTTGCTGTTGAGTAAAGTGAAAACCTAGTTATGGGCCTCTATATGGATATTTGAACCATGGCAGATTGGTGAATCTAGAGCTTCTGTTTTGTGATCACGTCATAAAGCTTCATAGCTTAGTTTCCTATAATTCTGTCTCTACTGTCCCATCTGAGTAGGGTTTTGAAGTATTTCCAATTGTGTCTAATAGGAGCACAAGTTATAATTTTTCTCATTTAAACTAGTTGATATACTCAGTATCTTAAGTCAGAATTTTTGTTATTCCACATTCTAATCTGAAACATAGTTTTCAGGTTTAAATTTGGATTTGATTTTGAAATCCCTACACACATCCTGGAAATTTAAAGAAATAAGTAACTGGTTTCCAGAAAGCACTTAAAGTCTTAGAATTTTAGAGCTAGGTATTTATTCCATAGTTTCATCTTTAAGATGTGGCTTTCCTAAGGAGTGAAGAAAAGGAGATATGATAGATGAGGGAGCTGTTAAATGATTGACCTAGAGTTTGGGTCATAGACTTTAATTTTAAGAAATCAATTTTTATTTTTTTAAAATGGATGAACCAGAAAGGAGAAAAATATTGTATAAGTTAAAAAAATCCATTATATATGTATATTCTTAATATTTTAGATTAGTCAAAGAGATTTCTCTTTAAAACAGATTTGTATTTTGTGATTTATATTGACTTTATTGTAAAGAAAAACTTCAATTTATTTTATCAGTAGAATCAAAGGTATTTTTCCTTAATAAACTAGTGGTTCCTATTTTGGTTCATGATAGCAATAATAAGAACCTACAAGCTATTTGCAGTGTTTCAGAAAGTCTACAGAAATTTATCATTTATCATTCGTAACATTGGACGGGTAAACTAAAACGTCAAATATTTTACTGTGGACCAAAATTATATCAGTTCAGTATAGTAGTATTGTTTGTTTGTTACTGGTTCAGTTCAGTTCAGTCGCTCAGTCATGGCTGACTCTGCGACCCCATGAACCACAGCATGCCAGGCCTCCCTGTTCATCACCAACTCCTGGAGTCCACCCAAACCCATGTCCATTGAGTTGGTGATGCCATCCAACCATCTTATCCTCCGTTGTCCCCTTCTCCTCCTGCCCTCAATCTTTCCCAGCATCAGGGTCTTTTCAAATGAGTCAGCTCTTCGCATCAGGTGGCCAAAGTATTGGAGTTTCAGCTTCAATATCAGTCCTTCCAATGAACAGCCAGGATTGATCTCCTTTCGGATGGACTGGTTGGATCTCCTTGCGGTTACTGGTTAGAATCCTTAATTGACAGTTGTGTATGTTTCTAATAAAATGAAATTTTTAGTTTCTCTTTAAAACATTTTAAAATATGGGCTCCAAGTAGAGGTAAAAATAATAAAGGAATTCTTCAGGGGACAATATTAGAAACCATTTTCTAGGACTGCCTTCCCATTCCTTCCTTCAGTCTATTTTTAAAATGCTCACTATAGGAATTCCCTGGTGGTCTAGTGGTCACGCTCCAATTCAGGAGGTGCAGATTCAGTCCCTGGTTGGGGAACTAAGATCCCACATGCTGCCTGACATGCTACCCAGTGAGGCCAAAAAAATTTTCTTTTAATAAATAAATAGATAAATAAAATGTCCACTGTAGGAATTCCTGGTCACCTAGTGGTTAGTACTCCACACTTTCACTACCAAGACCTGGGTTCAGTCCCTGGTCAGGGAACTAAGATCCCCATGAGCCATGTGGCACAGCCTGGAAGAAAAAAAAGCCCACTGTAACAGATACCTTTTTTGGTGACAAGTTCAAATATTAACCTTTGACTTTCTTTTTTTCCAGAGATCGCCCTTAGCCCCAATAATCACGAAGTCCACATCTATAAGAAGAACGGGGGCCAGTGGGTGAAAGCTCATGAACTCAAGGAGCACAATGGGCACATCACAGGTAAAGGGAGAGGTCACCTGGGCCCAGTGCGGCATCTCCCCGCGGCACGCTCTTGCAGGCAGAGAGCCTAGTGAAGAAAGCCAGCCACCCTGCTCAGAGTCGTGCGCTACTTACCGAGCCGCCTTTAGAAAATTTGGGAAAATAGCTTAATAGTGACCTTGGTTTTGAAGTGTGTCTCAGAGCCCCGCTGGCACACAGAACTCTGCTAGTGTTACTGAAAACACAACCTCTGGGGACTGAACAGCTTAGATGTAGATGAGACGTGAAAGCGAAAACCAGACAGCACGTCAGCTGGGTGAAACTGCCAGCCAAGCCGTGTTCGCAAGTCCCGAGGGAACGCCGTGTCTTCCCAAACTTTCCTGTATGTTGTTTTTGGGGCAAGGAAGACATTCCAAAATATCGAAAAGGACAAAGAGGAGTGTAACAAATACCCGTATTCCTGCCACCCAGAATTAGCCGCTGTTTATCTTTTTTCCTGTGCCAGAAAATTTGGGAAACTAAAGATTGGATTATAAGAAGTGTTATTCTAGATAATGGTAACGTTCCCTCCCCGCCCATTCCCATTCCTGTCCCCCAGAAGGCAGTCTGAAATTTGGTATGACACTGTCCCCGTCTGTTTTTTATAGTTTCACTTGCATTTATATGTGTTATTGTTCAGTCACTCAGTTGTGTCCAACTCTTTGAGACCCCAGGGACTGCAGCATGCCAGGCTTCCCTGTCCTTCACTGTCTCCTGGAGGTTGATCAGACTCATGTGCATTGGGTTGATGAACGTGAAAGTCACTCAGTGGTGTCTGACTCTTTGCGACCCCATGGAATAGTCCATGGAAGTCTCCAGGCCAGGATACTGGAGTGGGTAGCCATTCCTTCTCCAGGGGATCTTCCCGACCCAGGGATCGAACCCAGGTCTCCCGCGTTGCAGGCGGATTCTTTACCAGCTGAGCCAGCAGGGAAGAAGTACGTAGGTGGAGGTAGATCCAGTTGATTCCTTTTACTTGCTGGTTAGCTTTTCATGCCTCATTTGTTTACTTATTCCTGCACTGAAAGACATTTGTTTCCACTTTTTCCTTGTGACACTGAAGTGCTAAATTGAGCATGCCTAGGAAGATCTCCGTCCAGGAGTGAATGTTTGTCTCTGGGAGACTTGCTGCACCCCAGGGGTATGCAGATCTCAGCCTTGCCAGGCGTCGTCAGCTCACCTTCATCCCACCCGCCCTGATGGGAGAGCTGGTCTCCCCAGGCTTGAGAGAGTTGGACTGGCCGATGAGTGAGCGGCGGTCTCTCTCTGAGTTGCATTTCCCTGGTTCATAGAAAAGTTGAACTGCTGTTTATTAGCCACCCGAGTTTTCTTTTTCATGACTTCACTGTTCATAACTCCTAACCACTCTTCCATTGAATTTTTGTGTCTTTTTTTCTTGTCAATTTGTAAAAGACTGGATCTTAAAGCATTGGTTCTGAGGCAGATTCCTAAGTGTGCAGCAATGTTCATCTTTGACAAAAATTCTCAATGAATGCTGGGGAAAGGTAACATCAGAGCAGTGTTGTTAAGGAAGCGTCAAGTAAAGGAGAGAGAAAAAGGGAGAATTTTTACAAAGGTTTTCAGAACTTAGTGAACTGTTTCTTGATGCCAGGTTTCAAGAGAATGTATTACTGTTCTGGGAAATCCTCTCTGACGGCTTTCTTTAAAACAACATACTCACTCATTGCTGTGTTCGGGAAGAACTCTTTATTCTTTGACCCTTAACTATTGTAGTTTCTTTTTTATCCTGTTTTCTGGCTGAGTGATTCAGCCTCTTGCTTTCAACAGTTTGGCCAAACACATCAAAACTTACTCTCCATAACATTTCAATTACAAATTTCTCACCTCTGTCTTGGGTCTCCGTTCTCCTCGAAGTAATTTTTGCGCTTAAGTGGGCAGCACAGGGACTGATGGTAAATTTTTTTTTTTTTAATTGGGACCCTTGAGTTTTGCCTCTGATTCTGATTAGCATAAAGATATCCTTCCCCCATCAGAGAAAAACAGCATATTTTGACCTGTACCCCTTAGATTGTGTCCCCAGCAAAAACTCATGACTGTCCCTTCTGGCTTTGACCAGTGATGTGTGTGTGATGCCAGTCAGGGGCCAACTGATTGTGTTACCAAACCAGCACCAAAGACATAATTTCTATTTTGGTTGCTGTTTCTTTCCCACGGCCTTATTTCTATGAGGTTTGGCCTATTTCCATTAAGTCCCTTTGCCGGTGGCCTTGCAGCCTAAAAATAAGCACACTCATATTTTAAATTGGAATTTTAGCATTAGGAAATACTGAAAAAATGAGAAAAGGCCAAGATGAGAGAGCAAAGAACTAGCCAAGAAAGTGAAATAGTTATGTCCTTTCTCTCCCCTGCTTCTCGCTGGGAATCCTTTGAACTTGGGCCTGTTTTCTGTCCAGATGCTCAAATGACATTTTTCTTTTTTAGATCTGAAAAAAAAAACTGTTGTTGGAAAAGTCTAAATATAACTCTGTGGCAGGAGACCAAAGATCAAACATACTTTCTCAGAGAGATAGTAACTATGGAAAAAGAAAACTCCCCTCTGAAGTTTTTTAGAAGAAAA